AATAATACAGTATTCTGACAAACACACACCAACTGCATCATAAATTCATGTGTACCCATGTACTATTGTGCACAAAAGTCGTGTCCACTACCCAGCCAGTGAGGTTTCTGAAATAGCCTTGAGTCTGAAGTTTCGAAACAGCTGGGGGAAATGCTATGGTCGGCCAACAGATGTCGCCCACTGTAGTGTGTGTAGGGGTGGGTGGGATAGAGGAGGTGGGGGTTAGTCTAGTGCCAGGTCATGTAGGTGGAGCATACATCATGAATTCCCCAAACACTGATAACAATAAGAATGTCATGAAGATAGTTAATATTATTAAAGCATGGCGAGACATGTGTAACGGTAAATAAAAGCACTACAACGACTTCCATCTCTGCTGCTCATGGCTACAACGGTGAGATCTGATAAAGGTCAGACATTTCTCCGTGACTACCATTACTGGTAGTCACGGAGAATGCACAAGTTGTTACTAAGGTTGGCGCTTACCCACACCAGGGGAAGGAGGTGATGTCAACACTGAAACAATTCGAGGTCTCATTCCTACCATCGCCGCCACCAACAGGTAAGCCACATTAATTTTCACCATAGCCTATGTCGCCCCTTATAATTATTGCAGGGTGCCATGAGTGATGCTGTAGCAGATATTTGTAGAGGCCAAGAATATGTGATATTGAGTTGAAAATCTTCTATACACATAAGCATTTTTTTGGTTTACTTTAGGCGTGAGGTGGGTTGTAAATTACACGGTGTAAGTGTAATTCTGCCATATTATATTTATTTTTCTTACCAATTGTAGCCATACTAAAAGGTTAACTCCCTTTACAGGATTACATAAGGCCTATTAATAGCGTGAATGTTCGCTTGAAGACACTGTAATGTTCCATAACTTGTGCATTAAACAACATCATACGCTCACGAAGTTCCAACTCCGCTAGCCTCGCCTACCTACCTCAACTATTAAACCTCATAATTTGAGCATCAGAGGTTACCACACCCAAACACACCCTCCACCATCCCCCATCTTCCACCTAACATCCAACCCATCGTGACACTTTCCCACCCCCATCCCTCCTATTCACCCATGGCAACGAGTGTGACTACTGTAATGAACACTCGCAGAACCGGCGACATGGCTCCTCCCCCTTGTATTTAGAGTTTCCGGTAGTGTTGTGATAGCACCGAGTATGAACTTATTTAAGACCAGACTTGACCATCACTGGCGTAAGTTTAGGTACATTCTGGAACCAGTGAATATTCTTTGTAAAAAAATTAATTTTAAATGAATTATTTATAGGAGATAAGCATGTCATAGCTGAAAATTGTCAAAGAAATATGTAAAGCAGTGGAAAACCATATATTTTGATTATCGGCGAGGCTAACTATCTATAAACAATTAATATTTGACGATTAGCAAAAGTCCTGGGAAAATGAACCAACAAGTCATAAGCTAAAATGATCAAATCATCAGTTTATCCTTGGTCATCATCAAAACAATCCTCTCAACATCATGAAACTATTCTGAATCGTCTAAGAATTGGGCATACACGATTGACGCATGGCCAACTCATGTCTTCCCCTAATGGAGCCCCACCTATATGATCCAACTGCCGAACACAAATAACAGTCCAACATATTCTCATTGAATGCCCTTTTTATGATCGGTACCGAACAATGTGCTTCACTAACCCCACAATGTAAGATATTTTAGCAGAGACCCCCCTATATTTTCCCTAAGTTCAGTTTTGACCTTTTTGAAATACTGTAATCTCCTCCAAACAATATAACACTAAATTATAGAAACACAAATATATGTGAACTAATCCCTCTGACCAGCCCTAGGAGAGACTCAAATGGGTGTCAGTGGTCTGGTTAAACTAAATCTTGATGATGATGATGATTATCGGCGAATGTTCACTCTACAGTCGCAGGGGTGGTGGTGGAGGTTTGGGGGTGGGGGGGGGGGAGAGGATCCACTTGCAGTTCACTATGAATACATGAAATAGGAAGGGTTTCTTGGGCAGTTGATCCTAAAACATTTGCCAAAACGTTATGTCAGAGTAATAATAATTAACCTAGGTGTTACTAATACCATTAATTTACTCTAGTATATATAAAAGCCTGCATCAGTTACCACAACATAATATTACTCTGCCATTTCAGATATGCCTGCAGGACGAGCAAATTCGTCGGCAGTGATTGCTGAACGAGGCCAAATCATCGGGATATGGAGAGCCGGGGCAACTGTGCCGAACATTGCTCTCGAAGTGGGGAGGAGCACCAAGACTATTAGGAGGTGGATCCGCCGGTGGGAGGAAGAGGGCTCAGTGGAGACGAAACCTCAAAACGGGAGGCCACGAGTAACGTCGGCAAGGATGGACGCCATGATTGTGGCAGCTGCAACGGCATATCCAATGCGAACACCAGTGAAGCATACAAGAAATCTGGGTCTCAACTGTCATCACATGACGACGAGACGCGAAGCCGGGATCGACTGCCATATTCCAGCTCACAAAGGGTGGCTAACACTTACTCACAAGGAGTGTCGACTCGGCTTTGCACTGGAACACCTTCCCCATAGAGAAGAATACTGGAGAACCATTATATTTCCCGATGAAACGGTGTTCAGGTCAATGGGAGCCGAAGCAAGGCAGTGCTGGCGGCCCCCCAGAGAAACACATTCAACATTGTGCAGTGAGTGGAAGGGTGTCAGTGTCATTCTGGGGGTGGATGTGGGCACATGGGCCAGGTGAACTGGTCAAGATCAATGGCCTTTTCACTGGTGAACAGTATGTAGACATCTTGGAGCAAGTGCTAATTCCTACAGTCCGGGCTATGGCAGTTCCAGCCCCCCACACTATCAGGCTGGTTCATGACAACAGTCCCATTCATACCAGCAACATAGTGAAGGACTACCTCCAGGATCACCCTGAAATTGAGGTCATCGACTGACCAACACTGGGATGTGATATTAATCCGATTGAACATATTTGGGTCATGATGAAACGTGATTGGGATATTGGGAAGCAGCAAACCTGTGCAGCAATAGAAGCCAAAGCTTACGACGTGTGGGAGAGTATACGTCGACGACCAGGGGTGTGCCTGAAGCTGGTCGGCTCCATCCCTAATCGCCTTGATGAAGTCCTGAATTCAATGGGTGACTGGACCAAATACTAAGATGTGTGAATTGTATTGTATGGATTTTAGTATTGTTTGCAAATACAATTAATGTATATTAACTCACCTACAGTGTTATCTTAAATCCATGTCCTTAATGATGTCTTAAACTATATGGCATGAAAATTCATAACAAAGTAACTTAACAGCCACAAATTATGTATTGTGTGGTATACAATGATCTGTATGACACGTCGTGGAATGTGTTGTCTTATAACACAATATAATTATATAGTTACAATTGCTACCATCATTGAAATGCTCATGATGTTCAGCACACAATATTAAAGGTAACTGAGCACACTCCACAATATATGAAGCTTGCTTATTGTGGTGGGGTGTTTAAACACTGGAACTTGGAAGAATTGGAACTTCTGAATACTATTTTACAATACTGATAACTTTTTCACTCCACTCTTTTTAACATAAGTATATAATTATATAATATTGCATATCATCACAAACATTTATTAAGCAAAGGATGGGTGGAATATAAATAAATATTACCATAATCTCTTTGTCGGAATAACAACAAAATTGTGACGTGGTCGCTGAGTAAAACTAGCTGACCAAGGCTGGTCCTTGTATATTTCACTTTTATCCTTAATATATTCCATTCTTTAAAGTATCATTGTGACCTGAGTGGTAATAAGCACCCAGGTCACTGCACCTGTTCCATGAATTCATAACCATAAAGAAACAACTGTAAGACAAAACGTAGTTAAAAAGGCAGTTTGAAATTATGGTGGTATAAATAATAAATAAACCTGCCTCTCATCCAGCCCCCACCTCCTCTATCCCCCACACACACACACACTACAGTGGGCGACATCTGTTGGCCGACCATAGCATTAACGCCCACCTGTTTCGAAACTTTAGACTCAAGACTATTCAAAACCTCACTGGCTGGTTAGTGGACACAACTTTTGTGCATGACAGTACACTAAGACATACAAACTTGAACACTTACACCTGTTTGCACACGCACGCACATAAGTAAAAACAATGCATCTATCATGATCTTTTGGTATGACTCAAACATTCCTTGAAGCACTTTTTAACCATAATTCACATTAATTATGGATTACACACTCAGGTATACAACATAAATACAGTAAACCCTCGAAGATCCGGACAAAAATTTGGGGGTTCTGGGCTAAGTAGCCTCCTAGAAGTTTCCCTAAGAAACATTACCAAACCAGATCAAAGAACATTTTGGGTCCGTGGGCGCTGCTTGACCCGTCAGTTGCTTGGACCAGGTGCCCGAGGAGGTGGGAAACATAAACAGAATTGACAATTGTTGTTTGAGAGAATATTATTTCATTCACTCTAGTAATGATACAATGTTTCTTATTGTTATCATAAGTAAATCCGTGGTTTATATACGGTAAGTTGTTTATCACTACATTAGTACTGTATTTTGGGTGTTTCTTATATCAGTTATTATTCGCTGGAAAATCCGGACAATCGGCTTTTCCGGATAGTTGTTCCCCCCTTTTAGTCCAGATCTTCGAGGGTTCATTGTAGTAGCAATCATCCATTACTTTGTGATGAAGCCTAAACACTACTACAACACCTAAACTACAGGCCAGGGGCAGATAAGAAGGGGGATCCCTGGGGGTCCGGACCCCCTTTAATCAGAAAATTCCAATATTTTTCTTTAATGCAGTAATGTACTCAGGCGTTTTTGTATAGTAAAAAGTAATTACTATTGACTCCAAAATATCTCCTAATATCAAGTGCATATGGCTTCAAAATGGCCTCAAAATGCCCATGATATTTGTCAGATTTCAAGCAATTTTATGGGGGGGCTTACAGCACCCCCCCAAAAAACATCCCAGCTGGGTGGGCTCACTGTGCTCGCCATGTTCCCCCTCCCTTAGATATTCCTGGATCTGCCCCTGAAGCATCATCAACAACTCAACACAACAACAACTTTCCAATTAAATGTTGTGAAGGTGCCAGTGTTATATCATGATCAGTAAGTTACTCATGGTGATAAACAATATACAGTTCTAGGTAAGAAAGTATTACAAAATATTTGAGTGTGATTATATCTATTATACTGAGTTGATTATACCGTACTACTGTACTGTATATGAATGAACCATAATTACCATACATGTTATACTGTACTGTAGTAAGAGTAAGGAGGACAACGTAAGATAGTCATGCGCTGCATTACGTGAAACAGGGTGCTGCTTAATTTTATATGATACGAAGTGATTGTTCAAGTCTGATAATGCGGACGACAGTGTAAGCTTTGGCATGACATGAATTCTTCTCTTCTATAAGAGGAATGTGTTAACACTTTGCTCTGGATGGAATGTAAATCAGCAAATTTAGTACATATTGATAAAAGAGTATTTCTGCCCCTGCATACACTAACTTAGCATGAATTTCACATAAAATCTCATGCACATGAATTTACACATACAAGTTCCCATGATGAAGGTCACAGTGACTTCATTTGTCAGAGCAAAAGCATTTTGTTTTGTTTTGTTACACAAAGAATACAAATACAGTATAACTAAGTTTAAATCAGCACAGCACAGCACAGTATTTTGAAATATTCAACAAAGGAAATGTACACAAAAACAAAATCAAGCTATTCTTTGACCACTTACCACACATACACAATATTCTGATGCCCTTTTAAACTCTGAAAATAAAGATACCTATGTAAGATAAACTACACAAAAATATACTGTAACAGAATACATCCAAATATAATTCATAAACTTTACATACAATTAACACTTATTCCAACCACCCAACCATCCCCGTAGCACGTCTTCCCTAACAACTGTGGACTGGGTGCTATTCACGGGAATTTGTACCTGTATTTGTGCAGGAATTATTTGACCTTCCAACTGCTCGACTGTTGCACACGGAGAATTCGTAACGGCGGACACGGCTACGGCAGACGTAACCGTGGGTGGGGGAGAAGTGTCAGGAGGGATGACAGTGGAGGGTGGCGCAGTTATTATAGCATTGGCTGCAGGGACGGTGCTGATGATTTGACTAGGTTGATCTATCAGGTTTGGGGGGTCACAGAAACACCAAGTTTGCCACTGGTTGTAGCTACCTTCTATAAACGTCAGAACATGTGCATGGTGGTTCTGGCAGTTATTAGCAGGCTTAGCTGGCTTGGGAGCCTGCCCAGGACCTTGAGCAAGCATCAGCTGTGGCATCTGTGTAATGGTCTGAGGAGTTCCTGTTATGACATCTTCAGTATTCAGAGGTTGCTGTATGACTACGTGCTGCAGGGTAATACTGGGTTGTATTTCTTGCTGTCCTTCTTGCTGCTGAGGCTGTATCTGCTGTGGCTGAGTGATAACAACTGGGTTTTGGTAGTTTATCGTATATGTGATCTGTTCTGGGGGTCTCTTTTTTATCTGAACTGGCTGCTGTAGCTTTATGAACTTGTCAAGAGCGCCTTCTTCCTTAATTTCTGCATCAGCAAGAGGATTTGCTACTATTCTTCGCACATCATCATGAAGAGATATAATGTGTCTTTTGAGGTTTCGTTTCTCACAGAAAGTTGCATTACAAATCTCACAAGCATACGGTTTAATTCCCGTTTCCTTAAATGATCCCGGCTTGTTTTCTGGCTTCTTTCGAAGAGGCCTCTCTCCGGTATGTATCATTTTGTGGCGAGTCAGGGAACTAAACTGCTGGAAGGAAGCTGGACAAGACTCACAACGGAATGGTTTTGGAGGAGCGTGAATTCGTTTATGAACTTTGAGATCACCTGGGGAGGAAAACCCAACTTGGCAAACTTCACACCTAAATGGAGTGTTGCCATTGTGAGTCATCTGATGCCACTTGAGGTTGTTCTTGCGACTAAATGCTGCATCACACTGATCACATTTGAAGGGTTTAATCCCAGTATGGCTGATCTTGTGCCTCTTCAGGTCAATGGCTTGACCAAAAGAGGCTGGACACAAGTCACATTGATAAGGTTTTTCACCAGTATGAGTATATAAATGTCTTTGCATATTGCTCTTAACTACAAAGGTCATATCACAGAAAGCACACTTGTATGGTTTCTCACCTGTGTGGGACCGTCGGTGGCGCTTCAGGCTACTGTTTTGTGTAAATGAAGCTTCGCACTGATCACACTGATACGGTTTAACCTGAGTATGAGTTCTAACATGAGTCTTCAGGTGTGAAATTTGTTTAAAATTACTGTTACAAATATCACATGTGTAAGGTTTCTCACCAGTGTGTGTTCTCTTGTGAATATTAAGGTGGCCACTTTGTACAAAGGCAGCACCACATTCCTGACAAACATATGGTTTCTCGCCTTTGTGAACTCGCATGTGTATTCGATAGCTGGCATAGTGCGTAAATTTACTCGTGCACATCTTGCATGACAGACTGGCTCGGTGGTGTTTCTTTCTGTGCGACATAAGGCGTTTCAGCCGATCAAATACTTCTTCACAAAGGTCACATTCATATTTCTGCAAAAGAAAAAATACAGGCATCATCTGTAATGACTAACAAGAGAAGTTATGAAAGAGACAAAGTGTAAAGCAACAGACTCCTTCATCAACAAACAATTTTCAGAACATGATAAAACTCAAATATAAAACAGTAAAGTATCAGTCAACTAAAAATATATTCACCAAAATAATCCATTGTAAAGAAAATGTTAAAATTCTAAATTAATTATATTTAAGAATTGTGTTATCGCCGCTGGCTTATAAATGCTGGTGTCAGTTGTTGACGATCGCTGCCTTCATCGAACAAACATTGGATCTCTCAGCCCCCCCTGACCAGGAGGGTGTTACAGATAAAAGTTCTTGATTCTGGTGAATGTAAAGGGTGAGGTGGCTCTCATGACACAGTTCGCCTCTCGAGTGATGCCCCCCCACGCGACCTGTGACCTCGCCAGATGCGGCGGGGAGGCGTTTAGCGCCAGCGTCAGTGCTGGCACCTGGGGAGTGTTATCACCGCTTGTGTCAGTGCTGGCAAGTGAGTATTGGCGTGTGAGTGCTGGTGTTTGCTGCCCTACCCGAACAAAGATTGGGGTGGGTGGATGGTGTTTACGGACAAGAGGTCCTGATTTTGCTAAACGAATGGTTTAAAACGGTGGCGTGGCCGCCTGGACTGCAAGAGATCGCTCACTCGAGTGATGCTATGAGGACCAGCCCTGAGTTATGCTGTAAGGAGCAGCCCTCTGCTCACACTGCTAAACACCACACATTCCTGTCCAAGAATTTGTGCTGAGACAATTTGCACAGTACTGTTGTCTCTTGGAACACCATGCTGCTCTGCATTGACCCGCACTTGTAAGTACAGCATAAGTGAAGACATACCCCTCGGTACTGAAATATTGTTGACTAATTACGTCTACTCGTTTCTGCCCAACTTGGAGTAATAAGACAATGAAGCAAAGCTAAGATTAATAGTTATGAACTTGTGTTATGTCACTATACTCAATAATCAATTACTGTATAACAAATTGTGTGAGAATAACTAATTATGTATCAGATAGATCACCATATATAATACTAATGAACGCCTTGTTCTCTGCAGGTTTTGACCACATCAATAAATATTGAATGCATCAAGAGGCGGGTTTCAATCATTCCCTTTGACTTGCCTGTCACCTGAACGTCCTTATTCCCAAGGCGTTTACAAATTGAGATAATTTTCTTATTTAATATTCACATATTATATGAATCAATGAGAAGAAATTGAACAATCAGACAACTGGCAACTGGCTGAATGTAGGAGAATAATGACATTCTGAAAACTTATGTGTAGACTTAATAACATTGCAACTTGGGCCTATTTGAATAAAAAGGCTGGGCCTGGCTAAATTACATATGTTGCCAAGTAGGTATTTATCTTTCACCCACTCACACATGAGAGCCTCCCAGACTCTTCTCAGCTTTTGTGAGGTAGGAATCTCGCCCTTGACTCACTTCACCGTGTGATCAATTACTGGAGCAGTAATAATGAATGTTTTTAGTGTAAATAGTAATAACATATTAAAAAAGTATCCTGTATGTCATATTGCCTACAAATTAGCACTGTTTACCTCCTTTCTACTGTGTCACACACTTGTTGGACGTACCAACAGTAAGGAAGCGTATCATATGTCTCAACGGGACAAATAAACTGCATTAATTGAGACTGAATGTGAAAAGAACCTAGGTGTGTATGTTGACAATGAGCTGAAGTTCTCGGGTCATTGCGAGAGGAAAGTGAATCAGGCAACTAAATTATTAGGTCTTATAAGAAGGTCCGTCCCTTGTAACGATCTTCAAGAGTGAGGTGCTTCCCCGTCTGGTCCCCGAGATATGCTAGGGACTGTCAGTTGATTGAAAATGCCCAAAGGAAGGCCACCATACTGGTGCCTGCACTTCGGCACCTCAGCTACCCTAAGAGATTAGAGAGCCTGAAACTGCCTATCTTATACTACAAACGGGTAAGGGGGGGACCTACTTGAGGTGTATAAACATCTCAAAGGGCACTACTCGCCCCACAAGGGGTCACAGCTCAAGGTTGAAGAAGCCACAAGTCCAGAAAACTGTGAGGGGTGACTTTTTCAGAGTGAGAGTTGTGAACTCTTAGAACAATCTCCCAGAGAGTGTAATGACGGCACCGAGTGTGAGCTCTTTCAACACCAGACTCAACAAGCACTGGAGCAGGTTCAGATACTTTCAGGAGCCAGTACATGCCCAGTACTTGCTAACAGTGTGTAACAGAAATGTGACCGATTGCCCAAGCGGCTAACGAGTCGATCAGTGGTGAAGAGGATAAAAGTATAAAGTAAAAGTCATTTCATAAACATTCTCGACTCTTCCTAGCCTGTGTTGCCAACCTGTGGTAAGGATATGTATTATTTCCTGTTTATATCATGCATGGCCAGTTTGTAAGACGAAAATTGTTTCTATTGTTTTTTAAAATAGTCCAAATTATACCCGCATGAGGGGTGGGGGGTTGCTGGGTACCGACCATAGCCCTAAACCCAGGGGTTAAAGAATACAGTAATGAAGTAAGTTTGTGTACAGGTACATTGTTTGCAGAAGCTAATAATAAACAGTAACCAAACTGAGATAAGTACTGTACTATCTTTTATTACATGCTTTCCTTGGACACATGTTTAGGATAGTACAGTATTCACTTCAAATCATATCCATTTTGTAAAGGCCTCTTAGCCCAGCCCAGCCCCACACACACAGGCCACTTTTGAGCAACTTTGTGGCAGCAACTTTATGTGGCCACAAAAGAAACCTATATGTGTCTTTAGGAAGGCTGCACATGGGACACTATTTAGTGGCAGCCCAAAAAAAAAATTGCAACTGGATCCATTTTTTCCGCCACACCACAGTGGCTGGCCACCAGTAACCAGTGTTAACTAAGTATTGTAAATAATAGCATGCACACGAGCCACTATTTTGTGGCCAAATACAGATGCATCAGTGCACAGTAAGTCACTGCCTGGCATAGAGGTGCAGAAAAGTTAATTAATGAATTTGAGAAACTTCCTACAATACAACATTAAAGGAATACAGTATACAGTAGTTACCCCTGAAATAGAACTATAAAAGAAACACTGTGAACTGAATTATGTGAAGCCTTAGCTGACCACAGTCCAATTTCTTACCTAAATTAGAACTTTTTAAAATCATTTGAATGGCTCTGACCACAGTCCAATTTCTTACCTAAATTAGAACTTTTTAAAATCATTTGAATGGCTCAATTTCCCGGCAGCCCCAACATCCACAGCAGTGACTATCTACATGGGCCAGGAGTACCATCTAAAAGAAGTGCTTATAATTAAATATGTGACACTATTGCCTGATTTTTATATTTGTATATGCTTTCCATCAAGTGCACCAATGCAACTGGGAATCTATGTATAGTACTGTACAGTAGCATAAGAACTTAAGAACATAAGAATGAAGGAAAATGCAGCGGGCCTATTGGCTCATACTGGGCAGTCCCATTTACACCCAACCCCTATTGCTCATAAAAGTTCTTTTTCACCTGATTTAGTCGTATTCATTTTTCTCAACATATAAGTGGGTGGCACTTACAGTCTTCCAGAGTGCATCACAAATCTCTGATACAATTTTCCAAACTGTAGATTCTCCAAAAAGGTACTGTACTGTACTCAAAGTGTAGAGAAACAAAGCTGTTGCCCATTCCTAAAGAAATGTAAAGAAAAAAATACATGCCACCTCTACAAAGTCTAAGTTGACACTACTGGCAGATGCCCATATGTGGCTGCCACAAAAAGTAGCTCGTGTGCGAGGATAGGAAAAATCATCCACCACTTTTTGTGGCACCACAAAAAATTGCAGCAAAAAAATCACTCAAAAATGGCTCATGTGTGGGGGCTCACAGCCCCAAATTTTTCAGCTGACAAACACTGTACTATAATATCATTACTATAATATTACATAAAAAATATTTTAAAAAGTCTTTAAGATGATTTGACTGAATGTACTTGACACATTCAAAGACTAATGTCAACAATCTAAGATGTCATCCCTCTAAATGAACCCACCTCGGTCTGGTCCTCTGTGTGTACCCTCGAATGTGCCCGTAACTGACTGAGCCGGGAGAATGTTTCAGGGCAGTCGACACACGTGTAGATTCTGGTGAGACGCTGAATCTTCTCATACTTCTTCCTTGGTCTTTTGTTCTTTTTTCTCCTCAGGGTCCTCCTGCCATTTGAACCTTCTCCAATGTTTTCGTCGTTACTCTCTTTTTCGCTTTCTTCAATATCCTTCTTAATCTCTGCTAAGTCGTCATTTTCTAACTCATTAATCGCTAAACATTCTTGTAAAAACTTTTCCTCGGCTACATTCTCTATCTTCATGGTGATCTCATTTGGAGACACAAGACCCGTCGTACCATTTTCTCGATCACAGTTTTGTATGTTGACTAAGGAATAACAGCTTGTGGGAGGGGTGGGGCAACTTTCCATTTTCAATTTGCAACTCAGTTACCTGAAATTTAATGTAAGAATACAGTACTGTTACCATTTTATAACTCATTATAAAAATGTTTAATAATAATAGGCATCATGCTACACCACACATCATGTACAGTGCAACCAAAATATTACACAATATCAGAATGGAGGACAGAGTATAGCCTTTCCCTCCTAACTTTCTTTGAGCCTTGACAGTTAGCTAGTGTAGGTACTGTACCGTTCTTTCTAACCCTCTCTCAGACTCAGCCAACAGCACAGTGCTTTGTGCATACAGTAAATGAAACAACTTCTATGATTTGCATGGCAAAGTCTGACAATGTACACAGGAATTTGACAGAGATAGAAACAAACAGCTATCTCTGGTCTAGTGCCAGTGTGCAGTTCAGCTCACTAAATTCTAGTGCATGTCTCAGGGTAATTTTACATGTATGGCTCAATGCATGGCAATATGTGCAAGGTTCAATGAATGAATCTGTGTTTGTATAAAACTATGGCTCAGTGCATGCATGCAAGGTTCACCATTTGTTTATGTATAAATCTTGGTCTATGGTCACGTGTCAAGTTCTACAGTACGGTAATTCAAAACTTCACCCCAAATGGATGCTCAAAATGGTTTGCAATTGAAAATGTCAAGACTCACCCCACAGCAGTCACATTGTGCACCACCCATTCCATCTTGGATAGTTTACTGACATCAAAAATACAGTACCGTACCATAAGTGTTTGAGGATTCTTTTTAACCTGTAGTTTAAGTTTGAAGGCTAAAAGTATATGTTAAGTACAGTAGTATGCTATTGGTGTCTGAACTAATGGGCTATCCATTTATGTGTCAACAGAAATTCAGCAAACGGCATATGTTTTCTGTGAAGAGAAGATTTAAGTGTCCAAAGTCACACCAGAGAAGAGGTGACTTTGGACGGGTCTGAGGTGGTATAGCAATAACATGACGTAACTCTCTCCTATAAGTCAAGGGTTCGAGCCTTGGCCCAGACACACGTGAGAAGGGTGTTATCCAGTGTGACCCTCACTACCAAACATCACAGGTTTCCAGGTCCCCGGTTTTCTCCTGCACAAACACTGGATAGAGCGCTTAAATGGCTAGTAAGCTGATGTGACAAAATATAAAATAAATAAATAAACTAATTATTTCAATGGCTGTACCTGCTAGAGCCTGGCTGGACAGTTTGAACATCAACGAACTCAAAAAAAACATTGGCAAAATCTGCAGCAACAAAATTACATATAGAGGTTAAAAAAGGAAGAAAGGAATTTTTTTCAATAAAATTGTATAATGTGAAGTAATATCTTCATTAGCCAGAGTCCCTCAAACCCGGAACTCTCCAATAGCCTGAATCAAAATTTTCTTGGAAAATCGTTACCAAGGCCAGAATTTTCAGGAAAATTCTGGCTTTGGGAACGATTTTCCGAGGGGCACATATTCTGAGAAAAATTTCCCAGTGCCCGGAAAATTCCGAGGATGTGGAGTTTTTTATCCAAAACGTTGAAGAATCAATTGCACGAAGTGAAAAAAAAAGAGGGAATTGTGCAACCTATAAACTTGAAAACAAGGAAAGTGAAACCTGTTACATTAAAAACATAAGACATTTAAGCTAATATTGATGATAATAGAACCCCCAATGAGTCTGTCATTACATTTAATGTTTACAAAGACCAAAATCACAAATTTATAGTTTATGATGCGACACGACCATAAGACACCACAGAAGAAATAACGGCTGAATATTTACGGTATATATATAAAAAAAATTTGCCTTCACAAACCACATAAAGACTGTTTATTACAGCCACATGATGAATCTTTCACCATATTTTACCGGGTAAATTTCCTCTTCCTCCATTCCCCGCCCACTACAGGTGATTTATAATCATAGAGAAAAAAATTATAAGAATTATTTAAAATTACAGTAAAAAGTTGTCATACTGTTTTTATTAATTACTATGATTCAAACAACATTTGTAGAGAAAAATTAACGAAATAGAAAACCTTTTTCTGGTGTCAGCTGTCTCCTACATTATTACCCTGTGTTCTCCACCTTGGCTAACATTACGCTTTAGTCTGTTCATGATTTCGCCAACAGCGCATCACTATTCTACCATAATTTTTGCTTCTATTATCTTTAGTTATTGTCTTCTATTGGAGAAATGCTGATTCAGACCACTCGTGCACTACACCCCAATCCTCCCATGGCTCGCCAACGACTGATTTGTGAAAATTTATATTTTTTGACCATTTTAACCGATAAACTTACCAACAATATTACTTGTACAAAGTTGGCAGGGATTTCAAACAGGGGGAAAATGTGGGGTAAAATACTTAAAAAAATAAAACACTAAACAATCGTTTGAAAACCTAACCTAACCTTTAAAAATCCTAAAACTAAAAAAAGTTTATCTTATTCATGTTTTTGCTATTTTGTAGGTGATGGTGTTGTTTTCGGTTTTTAGTAAGTGATGGCATTGTTTTCGGTGTTCAGATGAGGAGGGTTCCATAAACTCAAAAGCGATTCTTAACATTTTTACAAGTTATGAAAGGTAAGGTAAGGTTTATTTGGTTCTCAAAGAAGGTACAGTAGATGTTACTCTATGACTAGCCATGGGAGGAGGAGGGTGCAGCATGGGTTGTCTGAATCACATTACCATGCTATTTAATACATGTACTAACTATGATAAAAAACATTTCCTCAATGGAAGACAACATCTTAAGACAATAGAAACAAAACTTATGGCGGAATAGTTAAGTGGTGTTGCAGAAATTGTGGACGGGCTAATGAGTATTGTTAACCCTTCATCTTTACCTTCAAAAACATTCTATAAACATCAACACTGAAAAAAATTACTTAGTGGGTATTTTGCCATGACCAGCTAAGTTCCTCCTAATGCCCAAACTTGGTTTGAGCAACTTTGTGTTTACCATCAGTTATATTTCCTCAACGGGAACAACTTTTTCTAATACAACTTTTGTTGCAAGTGGATATTAACCGAGATAGCAAATTCACGTAAGAAATTAACGTAAATCTGTAGTCACCGTTTGTTTACAACTGACCCGCTCAGTTCAGGCGTACTCACTAGTCCACAAAAAACATAAAATTACACCATGATGCTTCAACAAAGCTGCTTTCATTGGTACTACCGGGGGGTAGATATCCAAATAAGTACTTTCTGTTTAATATGGCGGGGACGGCTAGGAAGTTAGGTAGGGTTAGGTAGGTTTCTTTGGTTGGTTAGGTCGTGGAGGGGGTGATAACTCCAAAACGGTTCATTTCCGATGGAAATGAAGGTCAAATTCGAATGAATCAGACCAAATACCATGGAAAAAAAAAATTATGGTCGAACTGTAGGTGGGCTGAAAATGCAAATTTACCGCCGTTTTGTTCGCAGGTAATGGACGATGAGCCAATCAGAGTGCAGTCACAGTAAAATAGCGTTAGTAGGAACTTAGCCGGTCACGGCAAAATATCCACTGCCCAAAAATTATTGGAATTTATTACAAGTTAACCTAATCTTCCTATCAGTAACCCTTTTAATAAAGCTAAGAGGTCCAAAATAAAACCCAAAGGGTAAAGCTGTAGAAGAGGGTGACCACCAGAAGGAATTGCCTGAATTGGTTGAAAATGTTTTAAAGACACTAATATCATGATACTAAACACAAAAATGGAAAAGACAAGGCATAGAACCTAATAGAACCTGACCTAACATACCCATAGGTTGGGTGTGTTAGGTCGGGTTCTACTGTATTCATTGTCATTTCCATTTTTGTATTTAGTATCATGGTATTAGTGTGTAGAAAAAAAAATTAAACCAATTCAGACAATTCCTTCTGGTAGTCACCCTCTTCGGGAGCTGGAAAATCAATCTGTTTTTATGCATGTCTATATTTTGTTGACTTTTGACCATATTAAACATTTACATCACCTAGTTTATAAATTAAAACTACCAAGATTATTAGCCTAAAATCAGTAAATTACAATAAAGTTATTCTAAACCACATAGTGTGTAATGTTTGTGTGAAGGAATAACATAACTTATATAATGAGATACAACCATTTTAAACCCTAACCCACCCTCTTATACACCATTACCACAGATAGTGTTAACCAACAGTAATACACAATATATCACCTGTAATAAAACACATAAAAGGTAATTAGTATACACAGAGCAACAACCACCTCTTGACAGTACAGTATTACCTTCCAACTCTCACATACCCACAAACATAAAAAAGGAATCCATCAATACCATTTTTTACCTGGGAATTCCTATTAATTAAATGAAGTTAGAAAATCATACATAAAGTCACAAAAACTCGGTAAAATAAAAGGTTGAGAGAGACTGTCAGCCTCCATTTACTCCTCCCTTAACCTTAACAATGAGTCTCAATGAGTTAAAAATAAATAAATAAATTCAACTGTAGTTATTCATGTTCATAGGTGTAAGTTGTGTCATACCTCTAGTGTAATGATTGTCTACTGAGTAATGAGGTTGTTAGGTACAAGATGCTGCAGACGACCTGAAGGATGTAAACAAAATGTCACTAACAACTCAAAACAAAATCTGATATAACCATAAAAAAAATAATATAAAGTTGTAGAAATTTTATTATAATTCATAGTGGTATAATTTACTTTAAAAATTTAGTTCATATTAATAAGGTAGATAAAATGTTATTGATAAGAGAGAATTTTATATATATTTGTTTTCTCGCTTGACTTGGCAACTTATCTGCCTCATGTATGATAACACAAAATTTGGAAGGACTTTATATTCAATTAATATATTTGTTTGAATTTGTATAGTTCATATGGTATATTGTACCATCAGTTGTAAACTTCTGTATCATCTGTACTGATATATATTTCTCTTGTAATAAAATTGTGTTTAACTTTCAAGAATTTAGTTGGAAAACATCGAAAGTCTCATACATCATTCATACTTAAAGTTAGGCTGCCAGACGCACGTTATTTCTCGATCAATATATGGAGGGCGCGATATTTAATTTACTATAACATCTTAGGTTGTGTTAGAATCATATATCACAGTAAATTCATTTTTATTAAATCCATAGACTGAACACTAAGGCTTATTCAATACACAACTTAGTTATGGAATAGTTTCAGATTGATTTGGAGGCTGACTACTTGCTGATTGGTTGAAATGTATGACGTTTAAATGACGTTTAGTGACGTCATTTTCGCGCCAAAATTTAAAAAAAATCAGAATTGGCCAAGAATTAATGATATTACAGTAATTTACTTTCGGATATAGCGCGCCCGAAAGTTATAAACTACTTAAACATTTAGATCTCCCTATTCTGAGTATTTTGAACACCATTTACTGTATACATGGCGGAAATGGATAATAGCGACACAATTAAATTCAATTGTTTTTAATTTGCTGAGAATGAAGAGCTGTCATCAATTTTTTTCTAAGCCAAGTTGATGTTAATGATTGTTATAAGTGGAAAGGTTACTTTTATTTTTTATTTTTTTACTTTTATCCTCTTCACCACTGATCGGTCACGTCTCTGTCACTCACTGTTGGCAAGTACTGGGCATGCACCGGCTCCTGAATGTACCTGAACCCGCTCCAGTGCTTTTTGAGTCTGGTCTTGAAAGAGTTTGTAGCGAACTGTATGTGGCCAGTTGTCAAATTCTCTTTGCTGGTCTATTATCTCTTTGCATGGGCTTGTAGTGGATCTCTCCCCTACAAGCCTAGACAGTATCCTAGCAACCGGCGAGATTCTCACGGGGTCGCCACCTGCGACGTTTACCCTAGCAATGGAGCCCATCAACTGGAGAGTTCCCACGGGTTTACTTCCGGCTGCTGTGTATATAAGCTCTCAGTCTCTCCATTGAGATGCATTCTACCCTACGTTCCTGAACACGCAACACCTCCTCCCAGCAAGCTCCTCGCTGTCCAGCTCTCATTCAACCTGGAGGACAGCAACAGGCAACATCTCCTCTGACGAAGCTCCTGCACAGATACCTCCTAAAGCACGCCACTCACCTAACGTGTCTTCTATGAGCAAGCTTCTCACCACACGGCATCTCCAGCACAAGACTTCCTTGTATATAATATATTTTATATAAGAAAACCACCACCTAGTTTCCATCCATCCCATCCTGAGTGCCAGACAACATAGCATCACGTAACCCTACAGGCTCACATACGTACGTACATATAAGATATCTCACACTCAGGATGGAGATAGAAGAGAAACTCACAATGCGTTTTCTGTATACAGTGAACCCTCACTTTACGCGGTTAATTCAACCCACGGTGGCCCGCGTAAAGTGAGAAACGCGTAAAGTGAACAACATAACATGTGGGATTAATTGAAATAGAGACCGGGCCGACCCCCAAACTCCACTTTTTCCCAACACAATACGTACGTTTTACTAAAAATAACATCTTAACTTTATGATGGTATTCACCCACACATAATATAGAAGGGAACAGTCAATAAGAGAATAATAAACTAAAGGTTATGTTAGAAAAAAACAAGGCTGGGGTTAACACTTACGTTAGTAGAAGAGATGGGTCGGCGTAGGGGAATGGAGGCTGGTTCCGAGGCAGAGGGCAGGCTACTGGCCCTCAGGTGAGTCTTCATCGGTGTCATCCACACTTGTCAGGGCCTCCCTGACAAATCCCTCAAAGTCATCTTCACTGTCTCTACCTCTGTCACCATCACTGGCTTGGGCTGGCTGTGGTGGGTTGCGGGCGAAGAACTCTGTTATGCTTTGCTGACGGCTGGTGTTTATGTTGTCGTGATAAACCTTGATGTAGGGCTCCATAGTCTGCAACAGCTGGGTAGTGAAGATTTCATACCTGTTTGCGTCAGGGTCGTCGGAATGGAGGAGCTTGGCTTTCTCGATACACTCGATGGCACCCCTAACATTACTATGGGATAAGCGGCGTTCTTCTTGGGATGACGCACCACCTGCCTCTTCACTGACGTCATCATCATCTACCATGTCGTCGGTAGTCACATCAGGATCCCTTATCACCTCCAGGATGTCGTCGTTGGTGGTCTCGGAGAAGCCTGCAGCTGTAACACTCTGCGCAGCTTCTCTGGCAAGGTCCACTGCTACTGCAACAGTCTGAACCTCACCAGCCACAGATTTACTCTGCCTAACGGCCGGAATGCCTTGCAACACATGTCTCCATGCGTGATGAACAGTTGCTAAAGACAGCTGATCCCATGCCTCCACCAAGAAGTCCACAGCTTTCTTGACGTTAAATGTTCTGCAGAATTGTTTTAAAAGTACTTCTTGCTCTGCCAACTGTTGATCCTCGTCGTCTTCGCTCTTGCTATCGGTGTTGGTGTCACTCAGGTTACGCAACTCTTCCTTAGTGTTGGTGTAGTCGTTCAGGAGCTTGAATTTTTTAGTAGAGAATGCAGCTTTTACATTACAGATTAACTCTTGGTCCATGGGCTGTAATATAGACGTAGTGTTGGGAGGAAGTAAGACCACTTTTACGTTGGGGTAACGATCTAACAGTAGGGGCGAGTGTCCTGGTGCATTGTCCAGCAGCAACAAAATCTTGAATGGCACATTCTGTTCACAGAATTTCTTCACATCGGGAACGAAACAGTCATCAAACCAGGAGAGGGACAGTGTAGAGAACATCCACGCCTTACGTGCGGTCAGCCAGTGGACATTTAGCTTGGTCATGTCCATGCTCCTGTAGGCGTGCGGCTTGCGGGCTGTGTGGATCACCGATAACTTGAGCTTACAGGTACCGGAGGCATTGGTGGTAAACAGGACGGTGATGCACTCCTTCTGCAACTTCCGGCCCCGACACTTGCTGGCATTCTTCACAACGATGGTCTTGGAAGGTAGTTTTTTCCAAAAAAGACCAGATTCGTCCATGTTAAACACCTGGTCGTCGGTGTACTGTCCTTCCTCCATAATCTCACGTAAAAACGGAGGAAATTCCCTAGCCGCAACACGGTTAGCACTAGTTTCTTCACCACCAATGTTGATATTGGTGATCTTGTTTCTCTTCTTAAACCTCTGTAACCACCCAGAGGAATCATTAAAGGGTTTGGGCTCTGTAATTCCCATCTTTCGTGACACTGCAGCATACAGTTCACGTGCGTACTCCTTAACAGAGCTCATGTCCACCGCCATGTTCCGTCGCGCCTGACGCACCAAGTAGCTCACAAGTAATTTTTCCTGTCTTGAGAAGCACCTGGTTGTGGAAATACTTGATCATAGAAGCACCTGTAGACTTTGTGATCTTCATGTGCTCCTTTATCTTGGCTGCATCCTTCTTTATCGTCCGGATCGTAGATTCGTTCACACCATGCTAGCGCGCCAAATCAACCTGTCTTGTTCCTTTCTCTAACTCTTGGATGATCTTGTACTTCACCTCTTAGCTTAAGGAACGTCGTGTCTTCTTGGGCTTAGGGCGGCTGGGTCCAGGCAAGGAAAGGTTTCTCTCTGGGAGCGGTGGTCTGGCGGAAGCCATTTTACAGAACAATGGATGCATGATTACACGGTGTGGCCTGGAGGGATGAAAGTGCCGTGGCTAGGTCAAGCGTCGTCTTTCCTCCCTCCCTCCCTCCCTACCCCGGGTGGACACGTCATATTACTTTAAACCAATTACAGCTAGCAGCGGAGGGAGGTAGGGATGCATGGCCAATCACAGTCAGATACATCATACGACGTCACTGATAACGCGACAGAGACATGCACCGCGCAACCTTACCGCGCGGCTTGCCCAGGTGGAGGCGGGAGCAGGCGAGAGGGGCGAATCTAAAAATAGCGTCGAGCTGGACATTCTCCGCGTAAAGGGGTACACGCACCACGGAATGTGAGCATCACGGGTTCCGGCAAGGTACCTCGTAAACGTGGAACCGTGGAATGTGGGACCGCGTAAAGTGAGGGTTGACTGTATTTTAAAAGGAAAGCAGATACGATAAAAATTGACAGTATTTCACCCTTACCACAATACATGACCATGACAACAATTGTGACACCTGCTTCATCGGTCCAACCCCAGAGAATGACATAGACGGTGATACTACACCAGACATTGTTGGTAATGTTCTCAACCCAAGTTACATATACTGTGTAACTGACTCAACATTGTGCCCTTTCATTAATGACACCACAAATAATTTTCCCTTCATTTATCTTGGCACAAATAAAAATTTCCAATGAGATGCAATAAACAAACAACCTCCAGCAGCACAACACATTTTGTTTTGGATTATATTCATTACTTTTGCCTGTAGATACTGTACTATTATGGTTATTATTGTCACTTTGAAGAAATCCATCACCTTGTCCCACACAAGATTAGGATCATAGAGAAAAAAATGCACCTATTAACAATTATCCAACAAGGAAAAGTTTCTTCAAGAGAAATGATGCATTTTTTTATGCTTGCATTATATTGGCTCACTTAAAAAAGAGAGAGACATCATGAGGACGAATGATCTCTTATCAGGAAAACACAGAATTTTTACTAAAGTTTATTAATAAATTTTCACAAATACTATTTATGATGTTTTACAGGAATGTTATAATCACAGGTGCTGCTGAAACAATTCATCTTGATTTTCTGAATTTACAGTAAAAAATACAGAAAATAGCTGAAACTTTATTATATTACAATTCATTATTAATGCTTTTCGAAAAAAATTATTAATATGACATACAATTTAATTCACATAACAGTTAACACTTTACTTGCTTTAAACATTGTGTCAGTAAGTTCCAAACATTGTGATAAACTATAGTGAAGATTACAGTGTTTAGGTGACAAGTAAACTGCACAACAAAACAGTACATTAATTATAACTTAATAAAACAAACACAAGCTTCTTATATTGCTTGTATGATGTAATATATTTTTTTGAGCCTTGTTTATATTAACACTAATTGAAAAAAGTACAACACATTCTTTAGGGCACAAACCGGAATAACAAATTAATTCAAACAATATCGTACTATACGTAAAAAAATAGACACAACGATGAAACCTGTCCTGAGCCAATATGGATCTTGATTGAAAACTTGACACACAATATGATGTCTAGTTAACCGAGAGAAATGTGACAATGTAATAAGAAATATTATTATGCCTTGCAATAAAAATGCATGAATTTTTAAAATTCATGAACAATTATTATTCTACACAGAAAAGAATAATAATGTACAAAACACACTACAAGGAACCCTACAACTCGACGTGAGTGTGGTCTAAACTCTCGTCCCCATCCAGGTCTTGTGGTTTGGTACATACGGCTGGGGTGGTTATCAGGAACATATACTCGCATCTGTTCGGTTCCGTGACACCCGTAAGCTTCGTGTCTGTCCCACAAGATAGGTGAACCTGAAATTGTTATTGGAAATGTATAAGTAATCAACCTTGATATAAGACAATAATATAAGATGTTTTGTCAGCTGAAACAGAGGAACCGACAGATTCATAATAGTGACTCGATTTCTCCGTAAAAACCCAAGTAATAATACATCTACTTTGATATAGAGTTTAAAAAAATTTTGTTTACACAAGTAGAAGATATGAATTGTGCCAAAATACTTAACTCTTATTTTTGTCATTACATAAAACTAGTGAAAGAATTCCAGTCAACATTTCATTCTTCTCTAATAAACAAGTGTTCTGTAAACTGGTCCTGAAAATTTATAGAACTGGTAATAGAGACAGGGCCTACTTGAGAGACCCAAACATTTGCATATTACTTTGGTTGAAAAACACAAAACATTAGTTTATTACCTGACATACATTGTCGAGCAATATGAGTTACCTGGAATCAATCCACTCTTCCTCAATATACAAATGTATAATATCACAAATCAATCATGACTTCTGTACAGCCTGAAGCCTTGAACACTTCACATTGATTTACTTTGTTCATAAAGCTAACTAAAAAAAAAACATGTTCCATAAAAGAAGGGCATCCATTATCAAGACAGTACACCAAGACGCTAAAACAAAAGTGCCACGTTAACTTACATCTGCTGATCTGGTGGGTCCATTCCAACAGGCCTGACCATTAGAATAGAGCATTCTCGTATATTTGTTTTCCTCTGGCCCTGTCCATTCACCCCACTGGCCAAGCCGTGTTTCTCCCTGACCAGATTTAGGTTTCTGAATTGCCTGTTATGTAAATATGAAAGATTAGTTAACATGAATCTATAAAGCAGTGCAATGAATAATGGCACAGTAGAATGCTTTTCATTATATTTAGCTTTTATCTATTTGTTGAGCCCCAGGAAAATAGTATATTGAAATTACCAAGGAAAATTATAAAAGTAATAATCTAAAGTAACAAAGAAATACAGTAAAATAAACTGTGAATTGTGAGGAGAAAAAACTAACTCCCCAAATTAGTTGACAAGAGCATACATTGGTTCTCAACATAAAACACACTGTGAGAGAGAACCTATGAAAGTGCCTTTAAATCAATGTTTGTGAGATTATAAATTACACATTAAAACGACTATACGGTACAGTACTCACCTTATCAAAGGGACACAGCCGGTATGTGTATTCTCTGTCTGTATACTCATAACAGTTTCCTTCTAGGATCCTGAAGACCTCATCTGGCCCATAGTCTTTCTCTTGAGTCTCTTCCAGTGACCGCAGTTCTCTGGCTATGTCTCGAACCCGCCTGTCTGCTTCGTCGAATTGCTCGCGAGCCGCGTTGGCCGCTGTTCGGGAGAATTAATCGAGTGATTGCTTTTAGGTATATCATTGTGGAGGATATAAGCGAGCTTAAGACCTAATATATACGGTATACTATATATACATACATATCGATGTCACAATTTTAAGGAATATCCTCAAATCATAATAATAATATTTGGTCTTTTGTTCTTCAAAATTGCCTCTTTTAAAGAATTCATTAGTGTTCGAAACACCACAAAGTAAAAGACTTAAGAAAAAAAGAAAAGCTGTTCCACAATAAAAGATCACAAAAAGTGACAGTTTGACTTGTATCATTCATATACAGTACTGTACTGTACTCTTTAGGTTTTAACACTTCCTAAGCCCTGTACTCCATCACTGTATCTAGTTCAGGATCATAAGCTTTCAATAAAGAAAGGTCTTAAGTTGTTTCCTAAAGGCCTCCACAGAGGTTAGCTGCTTCATGGATGCAGGCAACTGATGTACACTCTGGGTGCTGTATAGGAAAAGGATCAGGCAGCAAAAAACATTCCCGTACCACACCAGGCTCCTCGATCATCACTACCATGCAAAATCATTCCAGAATGTGTTGTTAGAGGAATTAGTAGGTTGGCCAAATACTTAGGCTCACCAAATATTAGTGTCTTAAAAGTCATTAGACAGAGTTTGAACTTTATCCCAGCTTTTATTGGAAGCCAATGTAATTCAATCAAGAATGGGGTAGTGGGAGTCCTCTGTGGGAGAGCAAAAATAAGTCTGGCAACCCTGTTCAACACTGTTTGAACTTTCTTCAGTAGATAATTAGGCAGGTAGACTCATAAAGAGTTACAATAATCAACTTGAGACAAAATAAGTGAATGTAATAGTGTCACAAGACACTGTCTAACCTAAAACTGTTTAACAGCATATAGTAGATTAAGAATATGAAAGTTGCAACTCCTAACTTCTGAATTTATATGCTAATTAAAATTCAGTTTTGAGTCAAAGTACACTCCAAGATTGTGAAGAGAATCGACAGGACTGAGTTGTACTTCCCCAAAGTTTAAAAGAGCCAAAATCATCTGTGCCGTCTCCCTTCCTATTTCCTTTGATGACGATAATCTCGGTGTTGCCGCCATTCAGCTTAAGTTTTCTCCTAGCCATCCAAATCTTAATACAGTATCAGACATCAAGGATTTCATTATCTCCTCAATATCCTCAACATTTCTTATTTCCACATAAAACTGTGTACCATCGGCAGAGAAATGGAAGGCAACACAATGAGCATCCAGCAGAGATGCAAGACTACTGGTGTAGACTGTAAAAAGAAGAAGTCCCAAAACTGATCCCTTTAGGACTCCAAACTGCAAGGGGAGCGGGTCTGTAATGGTCCCACCAACCATCACACATTAGGATCATTCTGACAAATAGACTTAAGCAGTGAGAGTACATTCTCACGGACACCAAACGACCAAAGATCCTGAAGTACAGGTAATGACCGATATACAATGGATCAATATGCGAGTGACCAGTTTTACATTGCAAAAAAATTAACACCATTTACCACTATGTGATGGCTAAAGACCAGTTTTACGATGGTTGCCACCCAAATGCTTTTCCTGCATTGTCACTGTTATGAAAAAGTGATGTGAAATAACTCGCAATATTCGCACATATCATGACGCAATATCGGAATGGCGTAACACATGCTACCCACGAGGGAGGTTCTGCCCTTCCCCGGTGATTGTCAGGATAAGTACTTGAACTGTCACATCACCCAGAGGATGATTTGCATGTAGAAAAGCTATTCTTTGTACATAATAATAATAAAATACTGTACTACTACTAATAATAATAACAACAATATATACTGTACCAGTAAATGTAAGGAATAAATAAAAATAATAATAATAATAATAAATAAAATAAAAGAAAAAAAATACTGCGTTACCATTTAGCAATCATTTCCCGGGACGCGAGAAGCAAAACAACTGAAAGATCCCCCACGCCGCTCCTCACTCCCCCTCCCATACTCTGTCAGCTAACTTCCGACCACATGCTATGACTTTATGATAATTATTTTTTTTTGTATTTTGTTTGCACATTCTGTATGTACGATTGTGTGTGCAAGTAACAGAATAAAAGAAATGAAGACAATTACGTATGTCGACCCAAAATTACGAGCTGAATAATAATATATAGCTCACAGCTCAGCCTCACCCACTCTGAGTGCTACTGGGTGGTGAGTCGGCTACACAATTGCATGCCATCTCCATGGATATTATTCCTTGCTATTTATTTTAATTTTTATATTTATGTTTACACTATACACTCGTCAATTTAAAAAAAAGGGCTCTTGGTCACTCAAATTACCGAAAAATCTGGTGTTTAAGAGGCAGTGTGTGCCGACAACATTGTTAGGGAGAGTAGAAGCGATCAGCTGTTACCGATCTGTAAACAAGAGACTGGGAATATACTACAGTGCAGTAGCTCATCTGGGAATGAGAGTGGGATTTGGGGAGAAAAATTAATTATTTTCTGATGTTTTATAAACCTGTCACCAAATGAACCTAAATAATATGGAAATTATGCTGAAATTGCATGCTGTTGTTCCAAAGGAATCGCGGGCTGCCAAGCGGGAGGTGGTGAGTTGTCCTCCCTCCCTCCTCCGCCACCCATCACCTACGTACCCATATACAGTTTTGTATCTTAATATAATTCATATTTTATTTCTATAGTTCTTTCATCTTAATCTATTTCATAATATATTTCTATAATAATACAGCATCATAACTGACTTTTCGGAACAGCATAGTTAATTCAGATCCATTCCTTAATCAAACTGTTTAATTCATAAAAAAGCAAAAAAATTGCTAATTAAGCCAAAATCCGAATTATAATGACCCAAATTAACGAGGGTACAGTTTACTTACAAGTAACATTGTAGAAAAAGAATTGGAGACATTTACACATACAATACTGTATATCTCCCTGAAAATAAGATTTGAAAATTAACAATAGGCAACTCACAGCATGCACTCACGTGGGTCACTTCACCACACCACTAACACTCATAACCACCACCACTCACTACCACCACCACTGACACTCACTACCACCACCACTGACACTCATCACCACCACCACTAACACTCACTACCACCACCACTGACACTCACTACCACCACCACTAACACTCACTACCACCACCACTAACACTCGCCAGCCATTTTAAAGTGAATTACAAACAAAAATTTTGTCTGTGTACTGACGTTGGGACTCGAAAATACGTAATTTGACAAAATTTTGGTACAACTGAGGCAGGTCAAAAGTGCGGATGGTCGTAAGTCAAGTAGGTCGTAAGTCGGGGAGGAGCTGTACTGTAAACCTTGAGTACAATTAAGAAAAAATAAATCAATTTATCAGAAAACCTACAAACTCAAGTGCTGTAAAGAACAAATTAAGGCTAAGTATACAGCTAATTAACTACTCAACAAAGTTTCAAAAAAAATTCAAAAGCTGACCATCAACGAGCTTCTGTGTCTCCTCGTCATATTTTGGTTCCTCTTCCTCCTTCTGCTCGTTCTCCTGAGCCACGTCCTCAGCATTGTCCTCATGGTCATAGTCATCCTCGGCTTCATCCTCAAAATCATCCTGATCAAAACCAACATTTGATGACGTTAGTTAATACATACAAAGACTTCCCATTATTATGTCGACAAGAAAAGTGCAAAAAATACACCAATGAAGAAGACAACTGGAAAACAAAATATACAGTACATATATACAGTGGGGTCTCATTTTGAGCAGGTATATCGTACTGGTACTTGTCTGTGCATCGGAAATCCGCACAGTGATGCCCTTTTACATGTGTTAAAATAGTTATACGTATTGTACAGCACTAGATCCGCCAGACCTTTACTCTAGAAAGAATTTAGGTAACAAAAAATGACATTATTTCACATAAACCAACTACATTATTAATAAATATTTTAAAAAAGCCCAGGAAGTTAATTATGCAATACTCCACCGAATAGTGGAGGTGTGGGGAGCTCTGGGAGACGATGGAGGTCCGAGGCAGGGAGTGAAGGCCTGTCGGTTTTAAAGCCTTCAAAATCAACTGCAGACACTTGTAAAGCAACTTTAAACTTCATCACCAATCTCCAGAGCAGTAAGGTCATCATCAATAAATTTTCCTTGAATTGTTGAGGCATAAAATAGTTTGTTTTGTTTTTTATGGAGAATAGCCCACCCAGGCACAGGTCATCGATCCACAACGGGGTTCAGGGGGCGAAAAAATAATGAGCAAAAAGAAAAAGACTATATTAATCTACACCACGAAGATGCCGGAAAACCATCTTTTTGAAGTGAGACGGATCGTATGAGTGTGGAAACACAGAAGAAGGCAGAGCATTCCACAGTGTGGCTGTGTGAGGAAAGAAGGATGTACTATAACGGGTTATTCTAGTGTGACCGACATCCACAGAGAAACGGTGGGCACCGCAAGCAAGACAAGTGTTATGAACCCACGGCCTTGCCAGCAGTACACAGGATGCCAAATCAACCAAACATTGCCCATTAAAGTACCTGTAAAAGAGAGAGATTGAAGAAACAATGCGGCGAAGAGAAAGGGAAAGCTTGGCAGCGGCGCTTAAACTCCTGGTAACGTTGCCTGTAGTAGTAGTAGAGATGTAGAAAAGAGAGCCATTGGCTCTGAAGATGCAAGAAGGTGTTAGAGAAAGATAAACTAAGGAAGTGGGGAAACAGTGTACAGCACCCATTACGGCATCTTTGAGTTCTTTAACGTTACTGAAAACTTGCCGAGTCATGCATCCCGTGTCGTTTATTTTGAAGTAAATTTGTTATTTTTTTTATTTAATACTGTACGTTATATAATTTATGATGAAACATACCCTATAATAGGCTGATCACATGATCATACGAGAATATAATACTGTAATGAGTAAATAAAAACACTGGTGAATGAGGCAACAGCCAGGCACATACAGTACAGTAGGTTACAAGGGGGAAAGGCCAAGCAATCTTTGTCTTCCACAAGGGGGAAAAGAGACCATATCAACCCTCTTTCCCCCAACCACACCCTGCCTCTACCTTCCACCTCCCTCCATTATTGTTTAAATAAACAAGAACAAGAATAACAGATAAAGTATGAGAAATCATATAAAGGAATAAAAAGAATAATAGAGGCAGAAATACAGGTTGACAACCCTTTATCCGAAATTCCGAAAACCGAAAAGCTCTGAAAACCGAAAAAAAATTTTGGAGCAATTTTTTTTTTTATGGGTATTAGCCCACCCGGGCACATGTCACTGACCCACATCGGGGCCTGGGGGTGAAAATGTAATACAGTGGTCCCTCGGTTAATGAGCAATCCCTCGATTAACGAGTTTCTTACGAGCCAACCTGAACATGATTTCGCTTACATTTGGCGGTCCACCAGCTGTAGTATTAGTCCGCCAATACAGTAATCGGTTCTAGGGCTCAAATTCCTTACCATTTTAGCAAATATCAAGTTTATACTATTCAATAATTTTAAAAGTTTAATATTAAATTTTTTACTCATTTTAACAATTATTGAACATAATTGAAGGTAATGAAACTAGTTTTATGCGTGCCATCCAGCCTTCAACACACCATACAGGCGTCAGTCTTTGTGTCTTTTCAGTGGAGGTAACATCTTGCTTGAGACTCTCTTCAACTAAATGCTTTTTTTCTGTTTTTGCAAGCAAATTATTGGTCATTTTGAAATTTATTTTACATATTGACAATATATAATGCAGTGCAGTGTTGATTTAAAGAAAATAATCTTTTATTGCACCAAGAGAACTAAAATTTTATGGGTGAAATGGTGCCATGGGGTGACTTCTCTTCCACCCCAATGCCTTCTCTTCTCCCTTCTCCACCCCCATTCTAATTCCCATCATCATCATCCAGGAGCCTTCTACATACACACCTCAAAGTAGGTGTACTTTTCTACCTTTTTTGTTGAATTTAGGCAATTTTCGGTGAGCTGGAACCAATTACCCAAAAACCCATTGAAACAATGGTTTCGGTTAACGAGCAACTTTCTAGAACGGATTGTGCTCATTAACCGAGGGACCACTGTAGTAATAATAATTATAATAATACAGGTAATAATAATAATAATAATGATAATACAGTAATAATAACAATTATTCATAGTAAATAAAAATTAAAAAAAAATACGCAAAAATAAAATAAGAATGATAACAATAATAATAATAATAACAATAATACTGTAATAATGAAATAATAATAATAATAAATACAAGAATGAAAAAAAAGATGAAAAGTGAGAAACATGACCTAGACCTATGAATTATTATTATTATTATTATTATTACTATAATTATTATTATTATATTTTAGCCCCCAGGCCCCAATGTGAGTCAGTGACCTGCTGTGCCCGGGTGGGCTGATCCCTGTAAAAAAAAAAAACTAACCATTCTGAAATCCGAAAAATTCCAAAAACCGAAATGCATCTGGTCCCAAGGATTTCGGATAAGGGATTGTCAACCTGTAGAGTACATAGTGTAACAAATGAATAAATAGAAAATAGAGAAGAAAAACATTATGTCTATGGAAAAAGTAAATCTTTCCTCATTCTCTCATGTTACTGACCTGACCCGATGCAATATCAGGTCACCCATTGTACATGAACTCTTATCTCATTTGTGGTGAAGATGAGGTGAGGGATTAGTGGTCACATATTACTGACCTGATGCATTGTCAGGTCACCCATTGTTGGGTTGGGGAATTAGTGGGTCTCATGACCTGAAGGTGTATTGAATAAAGACCAAAGTAATATATGGTACACTGTACCTTCGTTAATTCGGATTTCACCGTAATTCATAAAAAAACAAAAAAATAAATTAAACGATTTGAATCCGGAATGAATCTGAAATATCTACTGGGTTCCGAAAAGTCGATTGTTATTATAGTAATATATTATGAAATAGATTACGATGAATTAATTATAGGAATAAAATATGAATTACATTAAAGACACAAATCTACGCTTGGGTGCAGAGGAGGGAGGGAGGACAACTCACCACCTCCCACACTTGTCACCCCACAATCCCTTTATAACAACAGCACGTAATAAAACATTATAAAAAAATATTTAATTTTCCCCCAAAAATCCAACACTCATTCCCAGATGAGCCATTGCAGTCTTGTTTACAGCACAGAGCAGCAGTATCAGCTGATGGTTCCTGCTCTCAACATCTCTCAAGCACCTAACCTAACCTACCCATGGCTTTCCGCAGAGCGATACTATGGTTACTTTTCAACCAATCATGTAAGTGATAACTGCACAAGCGAGACCCGCATAAGATGAGACCCCACTGTACACATACAGTAGAAATAAATGTGGATTATATGAGGCATGAAGTAATAATGTGATACAGCTGGTGGAGTGAGGAACATCAACTGTGATAGCTATGTGAAGGGGAACTAAACATGTTAGTTCACAGCTTGGTATTCATTAACCTGCTAGAAGGAAATGTCACGTGCCAAAGCACAAGCAGAGAAAAAGAAATTGATAAACAAATTAGTATGATCATAGCACCTCATGGTAGGCTTTGGCTATTACGTATTTACAAAATTCAAATGAACCAGAATAATTTACATTACAAGATACAATTTACAGTAAAACAAAATTTCGTACTAATACAAACCAACCAGAAGGACTTTTAATACTCTAAACCACTTGGTGCTATGACTTAAACTGTAGCTGTGAGTCTGAAAAGAAACTCTTATTTATGCAAGCATATTATTGTACTGTACCTGTAATTCAAATATACACATTTCTCACCATCTAGTTACTCTGTTTCTCTTATAATTTAAACCTGGTGTTGTATAAAATAATTCCACAGCTCAAATGTTCACTTATAATAATGTGATAACTCATCCTTATTTTGCCAAACTTTAAGGAAATAAACTTGGAGAGAATAAATTTCAAGAGACTGCATTCATGCATGATAGCACATGCAAAGAAATCCATAAATTACTTTCTAAAATAAAAAAGATTTTCACGTGATGTAACAAAAGTATGACTGTGTAAAGACAGCGAGCATGCACCAAGCATTAGCACCCCTCACCGACATGAGGTTCCAGTGAGCTCTGGAGTTAACGTAGCGTGATATCTGGTTGGCAATGACAGCAAGAAAAATTTGGTCAAGTTAGTATTTTTTGACCAGGATAAATCTCTAATACCTAGAAAGAAATATTTCTGTCTTATATTTATATAAAAAACATTTCATATTGCAATAATAAATCTGAAGAAAGGAAAGAAGACCCATCATCCAAGACAAGCAAGCTGGTGGCACAAATCTTGACTGAACTTACTTCCTACACAGTCTTATAACTTGACCTCGGGTTTCATGATCATATATGAGACTAAGATAACAATACAGGGAATGTTCATCAGTTGAAAGAAGCAACCGTACATGGAAATCCTCAATCCACCTCTCTCATTTATCAAAATACTGAACATGCCTTTACAATTCTTTTCTCACTATGAAATTTTTTTTTGTCTTTTCAAAGCTCAGTTTCTTCTTACAAATCTATTGATGTATTCTATATTTGTATTCAGTAATACACCTTTCAATTGTGAATGAAGACTAAAATATTTCAGCTTCCCATTGATTTTATTTTATTGTAATATGCACAGCTTCCTCCTAGGTGATTACCCTTGTGTTCCTTCACCAGTACAGGTATAACCCGAACACCAACGTCCCAATAACCAATGATTAAATGTAGGGGAAATACCCTACAAGTTTCGTTGATACCCCGGAGATCTGACGACTGGGAGAGGAGTGTCAGCGTTGTTTCGAGTTTGGCGGACGGTAGCGTGGTGCGAATTCTTGCCACGAGAGGGCTCTGCACACTGCCTGTGACTCATTCCCGCCTCTCTGCACTTTTTCACACTTACCAAGTGCGTTTTTGTTAGATCCAACTTCGTGTGTTATGCAATCATGCCTAAACATCCCAGAGATAGTTCCTCTTGCGCCAGCTTGATGTAATGTGATAAGGTATAATAAGAGTGGTGATGGACAAGCAAAGATTGATAGACTTGATCACAGGTAAATAACAATATCAATTTATGCTTTACATTCCTTATTTAATGCTTATGCTTATTGTGCTTGTTTTATGTCTGCTTTATTTTCTTACTTGACAGTGTGCACACCAGATATCAAGGGTAGATGGGAGTTTTTGAGGAGTGGCTGGTCCCTAATCCCCTGAATTTGTTACATTCATACAGAATTAATTGCTTCGATAACTGTTGATTCACTAACCAACAACTTTTTACGGTCCCCATATGTGTCAATTATCGGGGGATGCCTGTATAATACTGTACGGTCGGGGTCAAAAGTTCGCTCCCGCCCAAAATGAAGAAGCATCGACCCCTAATGAGATGAAACAGTCAGGGTAAGTCAATGCAGAGACTCATTCCTGTGACTCAGTTTTACCACGGGGGGTGGGGGTGGGGGGGGTAGGGAGGGGTGAACTTTGTCCCCCTCCTGTACCTCTTGTTTTAACTTTCTTGTAATACCTGTATTCTTATGTACAAAACACGTGAATAGTTCATCTTGTCTCACATTGCTACAACTGTGGTGTGCAAGTAATATGATATTGTTTCTCTTAAACTTTTTAAGTTACAATAAATTACTAAAATGCATTGTAAACCTTTTACTCTTTCATATATTAACCATAGTGGTATGTAGATTCCTGCATACAAACATTAAACCTGTAAACCATGAATATTTAATATATTTTGTAAGCATACGCATCAGTACTGCACACACTGGTGCTATACTTAACACCTGATCAATAAGGAGAATTTCTGTACAGCAACATTTCAAAATAACTATACTGTACAGCATACATGAATAAGATATAATACCGACACAAAATTGCAATTAGAAGACCATAAAACCCTGAATCACCCAAGATATCATCCAGTAATATTCCTTTTAAACACGTTTTTGGTATGAAAATTCTCCAAAGCTTTTCAATCTATCCATTTTTGAAGTCAGACATATGTCTCTTTCTCCACAATATATGGTTAGTTAATCTTCAATCTTCCTAACTTAATTAAAGTTTCCAATTAAACAGCTTGTTATAGCCATTTCTATAATCCATGCATCAGTACAGATTGCTAAACACAATATCATATTAACACTTTGTTTTTACCAAAGTAAATATTAATAAATGTGATAACTTCAACAGTGACCTAACCATTCTGTCCAACATATGTGCTAAAGCAAGAAAAAACACAGAACCCCAAAGCAAAGCAGGGAAATCATGGTCGTAAAACAGGACCAGGCAGGAACACATTCATCATGCCATGATAACAAGTACCTCAGGATCCAAGTTTGAGTCAAAATCTTCTGGCTCCTCTTCTTCCTCTCCTGCGTCGTAGTTGTCCTGTGTGGGGACACGTCATCAAGTGGATACAATGTTTGCTAAAGCAATCTTCACAGTCACCATTTTGTTGCTACAACTGTCCATCAGGCATTAAGATGTTAAATACCACTTTGGGATAATTGTACAGATAGTAGATGATGATGCATTGGACTCGGAGAGACACAACCTTCAGAATGACCGAGTGGATATGGAAATCTTACGAAGGATTGAACAGCCGGGTTGGTGGGATATGAAATATTGGGATGATCTAGTGAACAATGAAAACTGATCACACTTGTACAGCATATGATTTACTGAACAATGGAAGACAACGACACCACTAAGAAATACCTACAGTATTAAAGTGCTTGTGGAACACCTGATACAGTTCTACCTGCTGGATAAAAGTTGTTGTGTTATGTGGTTTCCAAAATTTAAACTTCAACCACTTCAGTGTTCTAAATACTTGTACTAACAACTGCACAGATGATGATAGGCTCTTCATGGAAGTGCATCTTATGATAAAAATATTGGTATAAACTACAATGACTGAAGAGATTCACATCCTATCCCAGCAGCCCAGACCAACATGGAACTACTGTACCTCATCACCCTCTACTGCACTAAAACCATCAATCAACAGCAGGAAAAATACACATTATTCATAAGGAGGTGCCGGGGGCAGATCCAGGAATATCAAAAGGGAGGGGGTCCAAGAAGTTGTGGGTGGGGGAACATGGCGAGCGCATCGAGCCCACCCAGCTTTTTTCTTGGGGGAGGAACTACCAGAATTTTTTTTTAAATCTGACCAATATCATGGGTATTTTGAGACCATTTTGAATCCATGCACACTTGATATTAGGAGATATTCTGAAACCAATAGTAAATACTTTTTACTATACATAAATGCCTGAGTATAATATTGCATTAAAGAAAGAGTACTAGAATTTTCTGGTGAAAAATGGAGGGGGGTTCAACCTCCTCCCCTTGCTACCCTTCATGAAAAAAAAACGGGGGATTTCTGTGATTTATGGCATTTTTTAATATTAAGACAAGAGAATGGTGTTCTCCTGTACCCCAGCCTCAACAATAGAGCTTTTCACTCTTGAGGCATATTTTGTATTGTTCATCGGGTTATCCTGAATAAAAAAACAAACACATTTTTGGGTAATACTGTACTGTACTCTGGCTAATGTCACAGTAATTAAAACACCTTTGCTTTTTTAACTCTCAAGGCAAAACTATGGTACAGTATATATACAGTAATACATCAGCATATTAAAGTTTTATTTTCTATTATGTTTCTGACCTGTGACAAACCACCAGCCACAACACAAACAACCATGACTGAAAACAACGGGATAAACTGCAGTTCTATAAATACTGTACAGTGTAGACAGATTAACAAAGAAATTGATAGATGGACTGACACACACACACACATACAGATGATGATCATTTATCTCTATTTCTTCACCTTTCTTTCAGTTGTGTGAGATGCAAATACAAAAATAAAAAGAATGAAGGAAATAGAAGAGTAATAGAAAGATAATTGCAGGACAAGTGTAGAAAGTGATACCACCTAAACTTTGCAGACTAAACCTATAACTCTCTCTCTCTCTCTCTCTCTCACACAAACTCTGATGTGGAAGATTAACACACAGATGAAGCATGAATGTGCTGTTTACTCACCTCCTCATCAAACATTGGTGGTGGGGTGAGACTCTCATCAAGTGGGTTGGGGGTGGTTGAAGGAGGTATAAACATCCCCTTGTCCATGGTGTACACCGGCCGGACCATTAGCCATCCAGAGGTCACGAATTGTTCCAGGGTCATGCTATCCTCTTGCTTCAGGTAGAACTGTTAAGGTCAACACTTATTACAACTTGTTTTAAATGAGAGTTACTAGAAACTGATTACCCCAAGAATTAAATAAAACTCTTTATGGACTACAGGGATCTTATAAGAGATTAGGAACTCCTTTCTTACTTCAGCTGATCATTAAACACCTACCCCCCAGGTAACATTAGGGCATTTATTCAGGGTGTGAAGTAAGTTGGGTTCCTAATCTTCCAGAGATCTGATGACACATAATAACATCCTCAACACACTTTCCTGTGAAGCATTTCTTCATTCATCATTAACTTGGAACAATTTTGCTAAATCATCCACTCATAATTCTCTCCACCTGTTCATACTGTACCTCCATCAAACTAATCTTTTTACTTATATTTCCACACACTTTCATTAAGTATAATTAAGACCATTTCTTTCTCTCACAGTCATTCTATTTCTCTCCTTAACTTTGTAACACTTTTGTGAGGATTCATCACAGGTGACCACACACATAATCTAGCTGTAACTCTAATACTAACTAATACATAAAATTACACTCACCTTTGCCTCCTCCATAGACACCTGTCCATCCCTGTTTGTGTCAAAAGTCTGTCGGGACTGCAGCTCACCAACCGTCAAGATACCATCACCATTATTGTCGAGGATAACAAAAGCAGTCCGGGCCTCAGCCAAATCCTTCCTCTTTTCTTCTGCCTCAGCTTCAGCTTTCTTTTCAGCCTCAAAGGCTTGATTTTCCTCTAGTGCTAACTTTTCTGGTTCTTCAGCTGCCTTCTTGATTTCTTCTTTCTCACTACGAACAGCGTCTGCTTCCTCCTTTTCTTTTTTTAGCTCCTCAATTTTACCCTGAAAAATATTATTGTCTCGATAGCTACAAAATGTCATGATGTAAACCATATATCTCAAGATATCATTTCTTTTCTTTTCACCAACCTTCTTCAGTGACCAATGTAATCTTTTCAATATTTGCTTTCTTATTTCTACATGTGTGTATTAGAGTAACCCATTACTCTACACAAGAGCAAAATTTGCTCTGAACGAAATAAAGTAAATTCTTAATATTAATACAGTATGTGTAAATAGATACCAATGCATCACCTTACATATTCAACTTGTGATGAATACAGCACAGTCAATCAAAATCTTACAACATTTGTTATTACTGCAAGTTTCATATACTGTTCTGTTTACAGTCTGAAGTCTTTTATGCACGTATATCAGCCTAAATATGTACACAGAAAGTAATACGGCTCAATCTCTAATTTGATCCACATCTTACTCAATCAACTTCTACATCCATATTTGGGTGAAAAGATTCATGTGCAGACTGGGTCACTGCAACCATTTGTGCCTGTTGCTAAGAAATACGAAAATGGAGTTTGAGTATATGAGGATTGTCCATTTAAGTAAACACAAAAGGGATTGAAAGAAGCAGGAACATAGAGAAAAAAAAACGAAAAATGTACAAAAGAAAAAAATTTAATTAGTGAAAGAGGTGCTGCATGATACTGTTATGTATGACGTGATGCACAGTAGTGAGATGCGTTGTGCATAGTGATTTTTTTCTATGCTCGTCACCCTCAACTTCTGTATGTAAAATATTTTGTATAATTATGTGTGAGCAGGGCTGGTACTTGATACCTAAAAATTGTCTTGTAGGTATGTATGTTTTAACTATTTTTGCAGCTTAATGTGGGAGTTGTTATATATTAGTGCTGTTTGGCTTTTAGTCCCCCGGGATACAGGGTTTTGTCAGTCACTGCTGGGCATTTGAAGCGAGAGGACGTCCGAGTTTGTCAGTGGTGGTTACCTTCTTAAATATGGTTTAGTTGAGTGTTATATATTTAGTGCTGCTCTATTGTTATGTAATGTGTGTATAGTCCAATCAATTATGGTGTAAGGTGGTTTACGGTTTATATACTGTGCACATATTAGTTGTTTATTAAGGATGGAAAACCAAGTGCAGTTTAACTTTGTAAGGAGTCATTGCCTCCGATGTTTTGTCCTGTGCTAAATATTTTCAAAGCCAGTAATTAGGTATATTATTTATTCTCTTGATTTAATTTATCCATTCATTATGTAACCTGCACATTTATTAGAGTAAACTTTTGTTATTAAATTTTATTTAAATCTTTCGTGCCGTGTATAGTTCCAAACCTTCACTCCTGAACTGTTGCGATAAAGTAAGAGGCTGTGATTGAACCCATGAGGCACAATTTAGTCATTATTTGTGTATGTAAATTTTGCATTTAACATTGTTTGTCGTGTATTGAAGTAACATTAATTTTAAGTGATAAATATTAAGGACTAAGTTATGCTGTGTTGCTAATTTGTTTTGTTGCTGTGCCATATGTGCCCTCATTATTATATTCATCTTTAACATAATTCAAGTTGCTAAATTATGGCATAACAATACTCCAAAATTAATAAAACAACTAATGACTTCCACTGAACCAGGAGAAAGAACATGCACTCCACATAAGCAACTCTCTAACCTCAACCAAGTTTGACCCAACTACTAAATAGTAAAACACACCAAAATAAAGCCCCTTCACCAATCATCCACACACATTACTCTTTAACAACACAGTACATACACGACTATTGTTTCCCGCCATCGTTTAACATACAGTTCAGGTGTGTTGAGGTTTTATGGTTACTGGGAGGTGAGTCTTGGAGTTCTTGGAGTTTATTTTCTTCCCACTATTTATTTCTGTTATGGGATGTAACTTTCTCACCCTTCAATGGTTTCATGTGCTTCAGGTACTTCAACTTGAAGTAAACCATAGATGTACTGAATATTAATTTATGTACAACCACATTTACCACTACAATTACTAAAAGTACAGTACTATACTACAGTAACTACTTCTCACTGTATCTCTGCATTTTACAAAGTCTACGTGTTACTTAAATTTGTGTGAGAAGGGACTGTTGATGGGTTAGATATTGTGGACAGCATTAATGATGAACACAAATAATGGAGGAAATGGCTATATAATATATTGGTGAAAAGAGCTGGATCTGGTGGGACTACCAAATAAGAGAATGATAAGGACTAACCAGAGTATCCTAAGTACAGTGGTTAAATATACAGTACAGGTACTCCCCGACTTACGACAACCCGGACATACGACCGCCATGGTCGTATAAAATATTTTTCAAATTACGTATTTTCGAGTCCTGACGTTAGTGATCACGCTGTGTACTGACAAATTTTTGTTTGTAATTCCCTTTAAAATGGCTGGCAAGCGTAAAAGTGAGAGTTCTCGTGGTGCTGAGAAGAAAAAAAGACACCCAAGTTAGAATTTCTAAGATGGTATTTTCGCCTTTTCGACTTACGACCAATTCGACTTACAACCAGGTCGTCGGGACGGAACCCCGTCGTAAGTCGAGGAGAGACTGTACTTGCTTGGCTAAGGCTCTATACAAAAACTAAAGTGACAATGACAACAATGCCAAGGTGGTGATAATAGATGTAAATTTCTTTCTTTTTTCAAATTGTTAAAATGGTCAGATAAACTGGTTGAAACAAGTGAGCGAGTTCTAGATTATGAAATGCGATGGTCAAATACGAGACTAGTACTGTATATAGACTGTATTGTGTGGTTATGATCTGTAGCTACAAAGTCTGTGACAATATATGGTGTGTGCTCAAATATTCTACTTCTTCTTAACATTTAGAACTTTTCTGTATAAGGCAGTACATAAGTTACATTTTAAAAGGAAGACATACTGTATACACGTCACAAACCTCTGCCTCTTTTTTCTTTTTACGGCCATCTTCAATCATTGACTGTCGCAGCTGATAACCTTTAAGTCTTTCTTCTCGTTGCTTAGCTGCTTCCTCTCTAGCAGCCCGACCTAACTCTCGGCAGGTATCAACACAGTTGGCATTAGATGCATACTCATCTGATGCATCACAACAATCACAGACACCATCGTTGACTCTTGAGGACGGAATGTTCAGAGGCGTGTGTCCAGCGTTGGTGCAGTAGAAGAATCCTGATCAAAACAACATAAGTTTCATATTTTTACCAAAGAAAAACAACATAAGCATGAAATGTGAGAAGCAAAAAACTCTCAATTGGAATTCAAGAAAATAATAAAGGAATAATTTGGGGCAAAAAATGTCAGCCAACTGAATAAAGTACAGTACACAGATAATGCTGATACAAAGTTTTAAACAACATATTACAGTACTGTACTAGTAAAACAATCACAGATGAAAACCTTAAAAAAATCTATCAGTTTTTAATGTACGCACTACAGTATTTACACAACCAGGTGACTATGGCTCAGTGGTACGTAGATCAATAACCTTCTGAGTTAAGGGTCCTGGGTTCAATTCTTGGCTCATACGGAGGACTGGGTTCTTCTTACATGCTGGCTGTTATACCTTCTTTATAAAATGAGCAGCTAATGAATGTACAGATGCCAGGAAAAGTCCTCTCACAGCCCTGCTACACAGGGCTGTGGGAGGACTTTTTCTAGCAACTGTACATAACTGCTAGTGCTTACCAACAGCAGAACAACCCTTTGGCAGACTAGTGCAGTAATGTAATCTGTCAATAGGCCAGAGTAACCCACTATCTGCTGAATACTAAGAAATCAGCAGTAGGCCAGGCACCTTAATCATAGCTGGAAAAATTTTTTTATGAACGGAATATATTATGGAATGATCAGCTTACCATTTGGGCAAGCGGCAGTCCCTGGCTCATCACTTCCATCCTGACAGTCACAGTATTCATCATTTACGTAAGAAAATGGGATAGTACCGGAACCATCGAGGCAGCTGAAGTCTCGTGTCGGGTCATAGAATGATGCCTCTGGAATATAAAAAATCTATAAGACAATGAAATAATTAATGAACAAAAACTTATGTACCTGACGAAAATGTATTAGTACTGCAATTCTCTAACCTAATTACCTGTAAAGCAATCCCTTGCTATACAGCATTCACTCTACGAATATTTGCTTATGCAAATATTCTACTCTTACATCTTTCTTAATGTGCATAAGCTATTTTTGCTTATACAAATATGGTCCCTACAGGTAATGTAGCAATTTTTTTTAATGTTTTGTGCTAAATTAGAGTACAGGTAGTAAGGTGCAGTATTAATTTTAGTACAGTAGTTCATTTTTCTTGGAACAGAAATTAATGTGCAGCATTACTTCAAAAGTTCCTTTACGACACACGAGCGAAAACTTAGATACAAAAACTTAGTTTAAGTGGATCATTAACAGGTATAAGATACCAAAATTATTTCTAGGATTTACAAAAATTAAAAGTCGGGATACTGTAAGCTGTCAAAACTCTGTAATGATAGGCACTTGCATTTGATAGTACAATACAGTAATGTAAAGTACAGTACAGTGTACAGTATTTAGAAGTTGATTCTTTCTATAATCATACAAAATTTAATGATGATTTTTGCCAAGTCACCAAAGTTACCAAATGGAGGGAGGTCACAACCTACTTGCCATTCCTGAGTAAAGTCAAAGTACTGTAATTTCCCACACTTCTGACACTGGCTGAGTTTCTTTCAAGTACAGTAATTTCTAGGGACAGATAAGTTCCAAAGAAAATTTCCAAAACAACCAAGATCAGGGCATCCCTATCATTAAGTATTATTGATTGTGCTGTAATGAGGTAAAAACTTATATTGAAGATACAGGTAGAATATTTATTTGTAGGATTGTAAAGTGAGGAAGGTTTGTAGCGTGGCCAATTAGTTATTTAACTTGGTATAATATATTCTTATTGGAAATCTTTCTTAACACCAACTCTAAGTACAGCTATTTATTAATAACTCAAAGACACACTCATTGATAGATCATTATATTTACATTACTATACAACGACTCTCGGACAACAAACATGAAATGGATACACTTCTCACCGTAAGTAACTCACCCTAATGGATAACTCTGACAATGACTCAGGTGTTACCTGAGGGAGGCCCAGTGGCTGGGGAAGCTATGCAGGTGCTGCTGGACTATGTCTCCTATGGGAGACTTGGTGCTGGGGAAGGAAGTCTCCCTCCCTGTTACAATAATAATCCGAATGCGAATGTTGCATGGAATGAGCTGCAGGGCCTTATATTGGCGGTCAAGAGCCGGAAGATGTGGTTACTAATCTGGATGTGTCTGATCGGGTGACAAGTGTACTGGCTGGAGGGTAGCTTCTTGAGTAACACGGTCATGTCGCCGGGTTAGTTAATGACGCGGCGGTGAGAACCGTGACCTCTACTTGGGTCAGGTCTGGACAGCTGTGTTTGCCCAGGTGCGTGGTCATGTCGCCGGTCGGCAATGCTTCCTAATTATTACCACCCGGGTGTGTCTTGGTCAGGTGATTTTCTTTAACACGATCATAAGGCCAGGTTAACTCGGGTACCTTGTGGCCGTCAGCTCTCCTGGGTCAGGTCTTACTCTCACTGTAGGGTGTGTCAACCTATGTGGGTTACCACGTGGGCATCTACGTACTGTTATATGTGTCGTACTTCTCTGGGTTATAAGCTGTGGTCTGATAAACAAACATTACAGTGCTTAGTGGTCTTCTGGATCTCAAAGATCAGACATATATTGTGTTCTTGGAAAAAAAAAAAACAGTATTACAAAAGAATTCCTCATCCAATGGGGGGGTTATGTAAGAGAGCATTGATCATTGGTAATAAATTTTTAAGGACTGTTACCAGGGTTATCCAGCCACCTAAGAAAATATCTCAACTAAAGAAGAAAATTTATATGTCTCAAGGCTACTGTAGAGCCACCTGGGAAGGAACAACACTTTTCCTATTCAAGTTTTTGTACCTAGGTTTCCTGTAAATATGACAATGCTACTTTGAGTGTGACTAACAAAATGCACACTGATGACCTATTGACGAATTTTCCCCTATATGAACTCTTATCCATCTGTCTGTCATTTTCTCACACAAATCTAGTACGGTAAATATCAATACCGTAATAATAATAATAAGGCGAAGATTTGGAAATGAACAACCATGGAACTCTATATTAATTTGTATATAGGGAGATAACGCAAAAGCAAAGATGAATATTTTACTCTACAGCCCACAAAGTATTGTAGAGGGGAAATTGTGATGTGAAAACACCCCCCCCCCCCACCAAAAAAAAAAAAAAGATCTGACAAAACCTAACCTTTTGGGGATACCTGTATTAGTAGGGAATTATTATTAATCCTTTACTTTAACCTTTATCCTCTTTGCCATTGATCTGTTCGTTAGCTACTTGGGCAGTCGGTTACTTCTCTGATATGCACAACTGGCAAGTACTGGGAATGTACTGGCTCTTGAATGTGTCTGTACCTGCACCAGTGTTGGTCAAGTCTGGTCTTGAAAGAGCTCACACTCAGTGCAATCACAACACTCTCTGGTAGATTGTTGCACAAGTTTATAATTCTCACTGCAAAAAAATTTGCCCTGAATATGTAGTCAACTGAGTAATGCCCTCTTGAGATATTTATAAACTTCAATAAAGTCACCCCTTGTCTGCCTATAGTGTAAGCCAGGTAACTGCAGGTGTTTTAATCTTGTCTGCCTATAGTGTAAGCCAGGTAACTGCAGGTGTTTTAATCTTGTCTGCCTATAGTGTAAGCCAGGTAACTGCAGGTGTTTTAATCTATCTGGGTAAGAAGGAAGAAATTTATCACTACTGTCTGTAGTCTATAGAAAACTTTTGCATTAATAATTAATATTCTGATACTGTCTACCACAGAACCTTATATTGATATCTTAACAGGGAGATTGATAATATTTATTTTTACAATGTGTCTTGTAAATTTATGTTTTTAGATTTTTTGGGAGTTTTCGATTTCACTTAAAGAATGTCTATATTGGCAGGAGATGTTTACAGCTTACTCACATAACTCGGTGTCACACGATACTACTGCACATGCTCAGGTTTGAATTTTTTGGGGGCTAGTCACAATATGGATTCTCTGTGCAATGGGTGTTCTTCTTCTTCAGCTTGGTAAACCATACATCATGTCTTTGAAAAGGAAGCGGCTACTACAGACATTTTCAAGTATTGTGATATACACTGTACCGCCAACTTTTGTGAAGTGTGCGAAGTGTTTCAGACTATCTACATCATCAAGATAAGAACCTCTGGTTTTGTACTAGAAGACAGAAACTTGCCAAGACAAAGAAATCTCCTCACTGTGGCTTCTGCATTTAAGGGCACTTGATTGGGCAAGTACCAAAAAGTTGTTTTTGTGTGTTTTTACCCAAATATTTCCTTCTAGCTACTTAAAAGCCCCGACTGCTTTGTGCAAACAAAATTGTTGGTACAGTACTAGTGGGGGAGGGGAGGGCATATCTCCGTAATGGTTAGTTTCTGAAGGAAATGAAGGTCAGATTTCTGTGTTAGACAATTTTCGAATCTTTACCAAACTTTATAATGCTGCTGCTTCTTATTAGTGAGCATGAAATGGAATAAGTTCATTATTAATATCTATGAAATGTTCAGTCGATTACTCATTCTGATGCTCAAGTAAAGATGGTGGCAGTGCACACACCAACATCAGCTGTATAAGTATTTGTCAATTAAAAGAAAAACAGAGGACAAAAATCCGAATAGGAAAAATGATATTCCATCCCCCTAATTTGCTTTATTCTTGAGGTAAGAATTATGTTTTCATCTATAATACCTTTCCTAAAGTGGCTGGACCACCCGGGCGACTGTAGTTAAATTTTGATCTGATCTTCTATGGTGTAACCTATTACCATGTGAAACTATTACCAGAGTTTATTTCTTCGTTTGGTAGCTACAGTACCTGGTTAACCCGGACCCCTGTCAGTAAGTGTTACCAAACTTTTATCAACATAAATACTACACTTCTGGAGGGAAGGAAACAGTTAATATTTATAAGTTGTCATGCATGCAACTCCATATTGATTCTCATATAGAGAGAAACAGCAAAAAAATAAAAATAAATAAATAAACGCTTCACTCAATAGCTTGTCAGAAATTTATAGTTTTCGAGTTAATTTAACTTTTCTATCTTAGTAATATATCACAGAGATATCCGTTGTTTAGATATTACTTAACCTATCAGCAGCAAACTTGTGAGCATACGTAAGCTCTCAAATTTTGAATTACGTAGTTGCAAGATGGCGTCTGTCTATGAAGGTTGTTCCTTGGTGGACTGGCGTGTAATTCAGTATGTTTTTGAGAATGAAGCTGTAGCTATTGAAAACTTAAAGTGTGATTCAGACTGTCGGTTCAGTATAGTGAAGATCTGCATGCAGGTGTACTTGGTGTTCCAGTAAGAGACAGACACTACCCTTGGTAAGATTTTGGTAAAGATTATGTTTCCAGCACAAATTTATATTTTTTGAGTATTTTAACCAATAACACCTCCCCCAATTACCAACACTATTGGTTGTTCAAAGTAGGCAAGGCTTTAAAGTAGAGGGAAAATGTGGGGTAAAATACTAAGAAGAAAACCAAACAAACCTTTAAAAACCTTACCTAACCTATAAAAAGGTTTAAAATCACTTTCGGGTTTATGGATCCTCTCCTCACCTGAACAGCAAAAACTACACCAACACATAATAAACACCGGAAACACGAGTAAGGTAAACTTTTTTTTGGTTTTAGGAATTTTATAGGTTAGGGAAGGTTTTTAAAGGTTTGTTTGGTGTTCTTTATGGTATTTTCAGCCAAAATTTCCCTCTACAGTGGGGGTATGCTATAACGAACGGATCCTACTACGAATATTCCTATAACGAACGGTTTTACCTATAAAATTGAGAATGCTATAACGAACGCAACTCCTACAACGAACGCGGATGAATACCGGACTATTTCGCCTGGCGCATGAATATTGTTGTACCGCGACCCACAACAAGAGCGTCAGGCGCCATCTTTGTCTCATTGTGTAGCCAGTGCACCACTGTTATTGTTGAAATTTCGTCTTTTGATGTGGAAATTCGCGTTATTTGTATAACTATTTTGTTATACAAGTATACAATTGTAACAATGAGTCGTCCAAAGCGAGTGAGAAAGCTAATAACCCTTGAAACTAAGAAAGAAATTATAAAGAAACGTGAGAATGGAAGAAGCATTGCGAAACTTAGTGATGAATATGGGATGGCTAAATCGACTATATGTACGATTTTGAAGAATAAAGAGGAGTTAAAAACTGTGCAAGTGGCTAAGGGAATCTTTAGACTTAGCAAAGCAAGGTGTAATGTGATTGAAGAGATGGAAAATTTACTCTTAGTGTGGATAAAGGAGAAAGAAATGGCAGGTGGTAACATTAGTGAAGCTATAATTTGTGAGAAGGCTAAACAATTGTTTGAGGACCTTAAAGCCAAGACTCCCAGTGGAAGTGATAGTGATGTGCCAGTGTTTAGGGGTACCTGCATGCTGAATAACACTAAGGTAAGATAAAGTACCGTATTTTTTACATTTTCCACAGAATTTTTTCAGTGTTAAGCGGTTGTATTTGGGGGCCTGGAACGGATTAATCCTATAACGAACGAATGCTATAACGAACGAGATTCTGGAACTAATTACGTTCGTTATAGCATACCCCACTGTACTTCAAAGCCTTGCTCATTTTGAACAACCAATATTGTTGGTAATTGGGAAGGGTAATTATTGAAGAGATACCTGCCGCCGATTTTTCATAGTAAACGATTTTAAAAACACCACAAATTTCACTGTCGTAGTTTGTGCTGTTAAAAAATAGTTATACTATTTCTAAATTAAACCTAACCTAACCTTACTTGATAAGAAACACAAGCAGCTGATGCTCAGTTAGAAGACCACATCAACCTTCCCAAAGAAACCAAACTAACCTCACCTAACTTCCTAGCCATGGGGCTCCATCCCTCAGCATATTAAATAGAAAAATCTTACGATGAAATGGTATAATTTTACGTCTTTTGTGGAGATGGAAGCAGCCACCCAGACAGAACAGCTCATAAATGTATACTGAGTGTAAGCATCGATCAGAGAGAGGCAGAGAGCACTAGCGGAGTGTTTTGAAATATATACATCATTATGATTGGCTGTTTACATCCGTGATAATAATTCGGATCACGACCATCCGCTGTTTTTCATTGAAAATGGGTTTAAAAATACCCAGTTTTCACTGATTTTATTGGAGGATACTGTATTGTTAGGAAAAAAATATAAAAATGGCTGAAATCATGTGCTGACCTAACCTATATCTTAATTTGCCTATAGCTGTATCTAGAAAACTAAGCATTGCCCAAGAAAATGAATAGAAGTTAAAGTAATGAGCATACAAACCTGTCTAAAAAAACAAAAACAATTACCGAACCGCTGACATTCACAAGTCGTGTATAAGCCACATCCAGGATGAGGCATCACCACAGTCGGGAAAGGCACCTAGGAGCCTAATTATCTACCAAACAAAGCATTTACCCAACAAATGATTATTATATCAGAACTCATTGATGAAAATATAATAAGAAAATAAATGTAAAAAATAAAACGTCAGCGGGTCTCTCGCTAATATTAAAAAAATTATCTTTCTCTCTATATAAACAGATATATGAAATTCCATGCTCGACCTAAAACGAATCTTTACCAATTTTTTTTTTTGGGGGGGGAAGGCTAATATGGAGGACTTACCAGCCGACGAGTTATTTGTTTTGATGTTTATATTCTTACAATATTTTCATCACTGAGTTCTGATAAAATAATAATTTTTATGAAAATTGCTTTGTTTGGTAGATAATTAGGCAACTAGGTGCACACTACTAGGTCTCTCGCGCAGTACTTTGTCTTTCTCTGTGTGATGTGGTGGTACATAACAAATCATCTCCGATCAATGCCAGTTGCCAGTGTATGTTCACATGCTACAGGGATCAGTTTGCTGTCCTCACGTCTACAAAAAACGTCAACTTACACCATGTAATAGTAAGTTCTTTCTGTTTAATACGCCGGGGGGGGGGGGTCTGGAAGGTTGAGCCTCACTGCCAGGAAGTTAGGTAAGGTTAGGTTGGTGAGGTCTAACAACACTTCTGCCACTTGTTTTTCTTATCACCTAAGGTTAGGTTTAATTTAAAAATAATCACTTTTTAACTCATTTGCCATAACTACGGCAGTGTACACTATAAAACACAATGAAATTGTGGCATATTTAAATTTGTTTTCCATGAAAAATAAGCGGCTGTGAAGTCGAAAATAAATACCCTTTTTTTTAACACATCGGGAGATCCAGGGATTTGCTAGGAGGTTAGGACAGGTCCTTCTGGTTTCTTTGGTCAAGAGGTTTTGTTAGGTTTCGTTTCGTCGGTCTTAGCAGGGTCCGACTAATTACCCAAATGTAGCCGCAATTAAGTCAAATAATGGTCCTACATGAATAAATCAGACTGCCAATCACTTCTAGACTAGTATTTGGTGTCTTAAAGTCACAAAAAATTGGAAAACTTAATTTAATCTGAGTTAATAGATCGAGTGCATGTACCTAACCTAACCTAACCCAACAACTCAGATTAAATGAAGTTTACCATTTTTTTTTTTTACTTTCTGACACCAAATACTAGTCGAGAAGTGATTAGCAGTCTGATTTATTCATGTAGGACCATTATTTGACTTCATTGCGGCTACATTTGGGTAATTAGTGGGACCGGTCTTAACGTGTTTTTACCCTACAAATTTCCTCTACTTCAAAGCCCTGTCCTCTTAATGCAAGTAGTATTGTTAGTAATGGGGTGGGGAGTGGGTAGGGGATGGGTAGGGGGTGAGGGTAGGGTGGGTTGTTAATAATGGGGGGTGGGTAGGGGGCTTATATCTCAATAACTACTCCACCACTCCCTCATCTGACTTACTTGAGAGAACTATTCCTCGCGGTCTGAGAACTTCTGCTGCCCTTACCACGGCCCCTGACGCCACACACAGTAATGAAAATACTAAAATTTCCTGCATTATAATGAATGAAGGAAGGAAGGTAGTGAAGCAGGAGCATCAGCTGGCCTAGGTGTGTTTACGTGGCGTTGGGTCCTCCCCATTGGCTGATGGCTCTTCGTTTTCTCTCGTTACTCTGGGGGAACTACTGTACAGTACCAATGACCTTGTACACTACTTTACTCATTATCAATACATTCCAACATTTAATTTTTTCTATCCTACTCGTCATCAATTGGCCACGTATCTGTTAGATTCAAGTAATACACAATAATTTTTATTCGTTATAAACACGAGCCATCCTATCCTAACTTAACCTTACTCAATTATAAGGTTTGGTTAGTTTAGGTTGTCTGTTTGTAAGATATTTTGCAAAATCACCAATATGCATGCCGGTCATATATATATATATATATATATATATATATATATATATATATATATATATATATATATATATATATATATATATATATATATATATTTCATGTACATCCACAATCAAAACGTGGATAAGATAAATCTTGATAAAATCACACAGGGAAAAGGGAAACAATGGGCCCCATATTTTTTACTTGACTTAACTTGACTAGTCACGTTGTAGTGGATTCCTCCCCTACAAACGCTGTTTGTCGCTGAGTAGCCGATCCCGCGAATTCCCCAGTGTATGCCTCGTGGTCTAGGTCAACCAGCGCCGCCTTACATGACGGAGGTCAACTATTAAGCCACGCCTACCTCCGCTATTTAAGACCTGACCTCGTGGTGACCACTCATTTCTACCTACACCAACCAGCCAGCAACACCTCCTCCTACCTCCGCCGCTGCCTGGCGGCCCTCACTCCCGCCGGCGAGCATGGCGACCCACAAGCGTGTCCTCCTCTGAGCACCCTCACCAACCAGCTCTCTCTTCTTCTAGCTACAGCCGCGTCAAGCTACACCACCTCCTCCACCGCTGCCTGGCGGCCCTCGCTCCCGCCGGCGAGCATGGCGACCCACAAGCTGTCCTTCTCTGAGCACCCTCACCAACCAGCTCTCTCTACATCACGCTTGTAACCACGCTGCCACTTCCCAGCACCAAGCTGCATTGTACATCCAATACAACATGTTTACAGAGAGCACATTGTGAATTTCTTTTCTCCATCCCATCCTGAGTGTGAACCCAAATATCCCATACCCCACAACGTCGCCCTTTCTCTTAAGCTCCTCTACGTGTGTGTTGGTATTGGTGTGCGGATTAGTGGAAAAGTGGATGTCATGATTAGAACATAAGAATGGAGGAAACTGCAGCGGGCCCATTGGCCCATACTGGGCAGTCCCGTTTACACCTAACCCCTATTGCTCATATAAGCATCCAAACTATGTTTGAAGCTATTCAGCGTATTCCAGTTAATGATGATATTTGGTAACTTGTTCCATTCATCCACTTCTCTGTTTTCAAATCAGTGTTTACCTATTTGACGCCTAAATCTAAATTTGTCTAATTTAAAACCATTGTTACGAGTTCGCTCCTGGTTGGATAGTTTGAGTACCTTTGTAATGTCCCTTTGTTTAGCCCTGCCTTCCACTTATACACCTCTATCAGGTCGCCCCTCGCTCTACGTCTCTCGAGGGAGTGCAAATTAAGATGCTTTAACCTGTCTCTATACTCAAGGTTTCTAATGCCCGGGATTAGTCTTGTCATTCTGCTCTGAATTCTTTCCAATGATTCTATATCCATCCTGTAATACGGTGACCAGAACTGAACTGCGTAATCCAGGTGTGGTCTCACAAGCGCAAGATACAGTTTTAGGATGACCTCGCTAGTCTTGTAACTAACACTCCTTTGTATGAACCCAAGTACTTTATTACCCTTGTAACGAGCAAAAACACATTGTTTACTTGGCTTAAGGTTCCTACTTATCATTACTCCTAAATCTCTCTTGCAATCGGATTTCTCTATGGCATTGTTGTTCATCTGGTATCTGGTTTCCCTGTTTACATCTCCTATACTGAGTACTTTACATTTGTCCACGTTGAATTTCATCTGCCATTTTTCAGACCATTCGAAAAATTTGTTTAGATCTTCCTGCAGTTTTGCGGAGTCCTCGTCAGATTTCATAACACGTCCTATTTTAGTATCATCAGCAAATTTACTTATGTTGCTGTCTATGCCGACATCTATGTGGTTTATGTATATAATAAATAATAATGGTCCAAGTACTGAGCCTTGGGGAACTCCACTTGTGACGTTGCTCCAATGGAACTTAGTGCCGTTAATGCTCACTCGCTGTTTCCTGTCCTGTAACCACGCCCTAATCCATTTACGGATGTTACCTTTGATGCCATGTGCTTCTACCTTTCTAATTAGTCTTTCGTGGGGGACTCTGTCGAAGGCTTTGCTAAAGTCTAGATATACCACATCATAATTGTGCCCCTCGTCCACCAATTCGAAAACTGATGAAAAGGATGTTAATAGATTTGTTAGACAAGAACGTCCGCTTGTGTAGCCATGCTGGGAATCATTGATCAATCTGTGCTTCTCCAGGTGATTTCGTATAGAGTTTGAAATGAATGCTTCCAGTAATCAGCCTACTATTGATGTTAGACTGATTGGGCGGTAGTTAGAGGATAGTGATCTATCCCCCTTCTTGAAAATCGGTATTACATTCGCTATCCTCCAGGATTCTGGTACTACACCTGTTTTTAAGGAAATGTTAAACAACTTTGCCAAGGGCATACTAAGCTCTTCCTTACATTCCTTTAATACTCTGGCAAATATCTCATCGGGACCAGGTGACTTATTAGGCTTTAGTTTGTCTATTTGCTTACTAACATCGTTACCAGTCACTACTATCTCGGCATCATATTTAAATTTTCTGGTGGTGAAAATCGTTGAAAAATATTTATTCAAATTATTGCCCATTTCCTCCGTTGCTATCAGTGAGCTCTCGCCTAATATCTGACCGTGACATCCAAATTCTCGTTTTAGTTTGATACATTTTGGTAGAATCCTTTTGGGGTTTGTCTTCGCTTCCCTTTGCTATCTCACCTCTATTATTCCTCTTGGCTTTCTTATCCTTTGTTTTTAACCCTACTCGCCAATATCTATAATAATAACTTGGAAAATTCTGCCATATATATCCTTCTACCTATAGCCTTCCTCTTTTGGCCAATGATGTTCTTTTAAATAATCATTTATCCATTTAGGGTCATTGTTGTCTGAACTGAGTTTTTTTGTATGGTATGTTCGCCTTGTGAATTAAGTAACTCATAATTTAAATTGTCGCGGAACTCGGCAATCTCAGAGATGTCGTTATCAGGTCGGAGTCATCTGTCAGGTTCACGCCAAGCGCCGCCACCCTCTCTCAGCTGCCTCTTCTTTAAACTGTCAAAAGTTTGCCCCTTCTGGAAATCTTGGGACTTTTAGTGGAATTTTCCATAAGTCTGCCCCTGAAAATCTAACTCGGAATCTAATTTCTTTGTGATCGCTGTTTGCAAGTTCAAGTATCTACCTCACATTACTAATGAGGTTTTCTGTTCGACAGAACTAAATCGGTATATTATTACCCCGTGTGGGTTCGGTAATATGTTGACTTAGGAAACAGTCCTGGATCATCTCGAAATCCTCTGATTCTGAGTACCTGTATATCAGTCCACCTTATTTGGCCATGTTAAAGTCGCCTTCTACTATTCAGACTTTGTTGTGTATGGAAGCTCCCCAAGATTTCATCCCCCTATAAGTCGCTCATTGACTCTATCAAGATTGGGGGTCTATATATTACTCCCAGTGATTATTTTCCTTGACCGCTGCTTAATTTCTATCCAGCAAATTGTTTCTGTATTTCGCCCGCTTTTTATTTCTTTATTTATTTCACACTTCAGATTATCCTCAACATAGATTGCTACTCAGCCTCTTTCCTCCTGGTCTGCCCATCGGTATGGAAATTTGTAACCCGCAATTTGGTATTCAATCGCAACTCAATGGAGTCTAGGTTGATCCATGTTTCAGTGAATGCTATTATATCGATTTTTCGGTACATACCAAGGTCTGAATATCATCCATATTTTGTTTCTCTCATACTGCCTACTGTTCCGCATAGTAGACATTTCTAAGTTAGTCGTGTTCTGAGTCCCTTTACCGTGTTTAGTTTTTAAACTCTCTTTAATTTAGTTTTGTCATCATTCAACACTATTTCCTGTAATCTTTTACTTTGTTTACCTGCTCCCACTGCAGTTTCCCCACCCTCGTGCCCATATGTTCCCTAGCAGTTTAAAAGACTTGATATCCTTGAACTGCCCCTCTGACCCAGCCAGGGTTGCCACCATCCCAGTCAGGTGCACCCTATCCCTAGCATAAAGGTCCCTTCTGCCGTAGAAGTTGTCCTGTAGTTGTCAATGAATGGGACTGATATTGACTTGCAATATCTGTCAAGACGGTCGCGACACTCAAATCCGCCCTTGACAGCCATTCACTGCCAACTCTCCTTCCAGGCAGGACACCGCACATGATAGGGATCCCTCCCTAGACCCTAATACTACCCATAGCTGCCTTGAACTTATTAAGAAGCTCCTGTGCCTACACCGCCAACATCATTGCCTCCCGCACTGAGGCAGATAAATGGGCTTGTCTCTACTAGACAAGATATTGTCCATCCTTGCCAATTATATCCCCCACCCCAGCTCCTGGCAAACACACACCCCTCATCCTATTTTTGTTTTACCTCACAAAAGGCCCTGTCCAAGTACCTACCTGTGAGTCACCAACAATAAAAGTTTTATACCTTCCTTGTCATCCCTGTCCCTGACTGTACTCAATCGCCCAATTGCCTATCAAGGGACTGAACGAGTTGGTACACTTAGCTGTTGTTGTTGCCGTATCTCTGGTATTTCTTCACCACCAGCTTGGTCCTCCCTCTCCCCGCCAACCTCTTCCACTCGCTTTTGAGTTTTCGCCGTATACCGCTTCCCTGTCCCGGGCCCCTTTAACCTCGCCAGCCTCTTCCTTTAATTTCAGGTTCTCCAACGTGGGCCCTCTCACTTCTTCCTTGAGCCCTGCCACTCTTCCATGGACCACTCCAGTTTGGTCAACAAACTAGCATACCCAAGACCGCACATAGCACTGGCCATAT